TAACAAATTGCCTCTCTCTCTCTCTTTCTCTCTCTCTCTCTCTCTCTCTCTCTTTCTTCTCTCTCTCTCTCTCTTTTTTTTTATGAGACAGGTTCTCACTATGTTGTTGAGGCTGAACTCACTATATAGCCTAGGCTGCCCTCAAACTCTTGGTGATCCTCCTGCCCCAGTCTCCCAAGTGCTGGGACTGCAGGTGTGCACCATACCCTACCCCTGCAAGAAGTTGTCTTTCTTAACTAAGCATTTCTACCATTGACAAGGAAAGGAACAGAAATGTGTTGGAGGTCAGAGTGTTTGTGAATGAGCACAGAAGTGACTCTAATGATAGCAGAAGCTAACTGGCCATACAGAACTACGCCTGTGGTGAAGGTGCAAAGGGAGAAAACAGAAGAGCATAAGGCCTAGAATCAGGCCATCTAGTTTAAGAATGATGCTATTGAGCCAGTCAGGGACTACCAGAGGGACAAGGGACAAATTCTTTAAAAGGTAGGGCAAGAGGTGAAGCTAAGTTTTAGAATACTTGCTTAGCATGATCAAGGCCCTAGGTTCAATACCCAGCACTGCAAGAAGGAGAAGAAAATAGAGAAAGGTCAAGGAACACAATAAGAGAATGCACAAGTCCTGCTCTATAAACCTTCCACGAGAACCTGTGGACAAACAGCAGCAAGAGAATTCTCTATATTCAGGCAGGACTCTCATAATATATTCAAGTTGGTGACTTCAGCTTTCCTGAAACAATTCACCCTCCTTCCCAGACACCATAGCTTCAAAAGTTTTAGACATCTCTCATGACATTGAAAGTCTTGGGCTTTCTGGACAACACATAATGTTATTTGGGGGACAGAACTTTCCAAATTGGCTCTGAAAAAGACCGTCCATCTTTCTCAAGACCTTGACCTCTTGGTTTTATTGCTGACTTAATAACTCTTCAAGCATTCTTAAATGATATAAGAATTGATAAGCTACCAGCTAAGCTACACTATATCTGTAAGTCAGTTGGTATGCTCCCTTGCATCTGTATTCAAAATCAGAGAATTCCCTGCAACTAATCACAAATGTACCGTGTGTTCTTTTTCCTAGTTTTAGCTCTAATCTTCTAGACATCTGGTTTCCATATTCCTTCCTATCAGATAATTTGTACAATGACTTAGCATACATTACTTTGTTTAGGTCTATTCTTCCTGCTCTGCCAAAATCTTGGAGCTACCAGAAACTTTAGGGAAATCACTAACCAGTTCTTAGATTTTTTTCCCATTTCTCCATAGTGATCCCCTTCAGCCTGACTGCATTTCCTTTAGCAGAAACTCTTAAAACTCTTTGGCCCTGAATTTGATTTCTTAAAAAGAAACAAGGCAAACATGGCTATAGGTTCTCATGAATTTGAATCTTCTGAAGTAAAATCCTGGAAGACTTGCTAAGGCTCATGTTGTTATTGGGGCATGTGAGAGTGACCTACTTCTTTCAGCTATCATCTCTGTAGGGACACTGTTGAGAAACACACAGGTTTTCTACAATCCTCCAGGGAATGCTCTAAGAATCTAACCCTTCCCTCATTTTCAAGTTACAGCCTTCTCTTGCCTACTACATATTCAGAGACACATGGGGTATTTAAAACCCAACTTGAAATGATCCAAGAGCATTAATCAAAGTGTGTGGGAAGGATAGCAGCAAAGAGGGGAATGAAAGGGGAATTCCCAAGAAGAAGACAAACAACTATAAAGGAATTTTTTTTTTAAATGATGGACTATTTTTTTAAAAGGGACAGGGCTTGTATACCTAGTAAATAATTTTACCCAAAAGACCTGTCATTAGATTTACTTTTCTAAGGGTAGAAATTTCACCTGATCAAGTTTTTTTTCTCTATGCCTATTCTGATTTTCTTAGAAAAGTTCCTTTTGCAAAGTACCAATCTGGCATGGATAGATTTATGTAAAACTTCCAGTTAGGATGTTGATTTATCTGTAAAAACAGAACCAAAATGGCAGATACTTAAATAAGATAAAAGTTTATTTCTGTTTTGCATAATAGTCTGGGGCGTAAGAGCCCTGAACTAATATGGGACTCCACAGTCAGGGGTCCCAGGTGCTTTCTTCCCCACTGCTTTGTCAACTTCAACACACCGCTTCTATCTCATGCTCTAACTGCTGCACTTGTATCCATACTCCAACGAGTAAGAAATAAGTAAGCAGAAAAGAAGGCATTTCATTTCTTTTTAAGGACATGGCCAGAAGTGGTAAGTGGAAGCCTGTCACTCCACTTCCATTCAAGTGAATAGAACCTAATTAAATAGTCACCATACTTAAAAGCAAGGGAAGCTAGATAACATAGGGCTTAGTTAGGCAGAAATGTGTCCCCAAAGAAAAGTATATTACTGTGATGAAGGGGATGGAAAAATATTGGAGAATTACTAGGAGTCTGTGCCAGACAAGGTAGGAAGTAATTGTGTCCATAGTTTTGTAATGAGGAGAGCATCAGTTAATAGAGCTTATAGAAATTAAGGCATTACACTTGAAATAATCTTCCTAAGACAGATTGACTGGAGAGATTGATAAAAGCTGATTCTTTTCTACCAAAATAGGACATCACAGTGCTTAGCCAAACTATTGTTTAACTATTATCAGAAGGTGTTGGGGAAGTATATGAGGAAATAGTTTCACGACATTGTATTTTATTTAACAAGAAAGTAAAGCCACACAATTGAGTTGCCCATACCTCTCTCAAACTCAAGTTGTTTCTATTACCAAAGCCAAGCTGTGTCCAATGTGATAAGAAATAGGCAGAGTTGTTTCTGAGAACCCAACTCATGAAGTGAAGAGAGGGGTTCGAGCAGAAGTTATCAGAGAAGCTGCAGGATCAGTTTATAGGATTGGTGGTCCAGGAATCTACCAACTCTTCGGCCATTGGAAAATGACCGAACAGAGCAAGCTCTTGCCACACAATGGCTATCAGGGCTGAGATCAGGGACAAGAGACTCCCAGATTGCTAGAAAAGTATTTTCAGTGCTTCTCTTTGGAGCTATACAGCAGAGGAAGGAGCAGTTGGCATTTGATCGTCAAAAAAATTAAAGGTGGGGGGCTGGGGATTTAGCTCAGCGGCACAGCACCTCCCTGGCAAGCGCAAGGCATGAGTTTGATTTCCGGTACCAGAACCCACACACACACACAAAAATTAAAGGTGTAAAATTTCCAACATAGGAGTAGTGAAGGCACATAAAGGAACTGTGTACTTGCTGGCAGAAGCACCTTGGCTCTTTGAGATTCTTTGTCAATCAGTTGGAAAAAATATCCTATTCCTGGCCAAAGAGAGTGCTGATAGAAAAGAACAGCTGTATTCCATTAAATAGTAGTTGGGAGCAGGGAAGGAAGGCTCCCCCCATAGCATGTGATGGCTTACATGGCAGTCCCTTGAGAGAGGGAAAGCACAAAGAGACATAAAAAACATAAATATAGTAAAATATAGACTATTAGAACTGTCCAAGAAAAAAATTAGACTCTTTGTGTAATGATGATGAAATACTACCTGGTCTCTAAATCCCCTTCAGAGCAGTCTCATGTGGTCATTATTTAGTCTCTGACAATCTCCTGAAATAAATACCTCAAAAAGCTAGTGATGTATTGACATACAGTGTTGGCATTTGACACACTGGGTCACATTCCGACTTTTCTATTCCTGGTCTAATGTTGCCTTTGAAATACATACAGAAATTGCATTCCTGCATTGGGTCGCAAATGAAAGAACCTGGAAGGCCAGCCCTCCCATCTGTGTGACCCTCAGCGTATGTTCCTTTGCTGACATTCCCGGGGAAGGATGGGTGTTTGTGAAATGTTCCACTGCATGATGGAAAGCTCTAATGGCAAAGAAGTGCTGCCTTTTGTGGTGCCTTAGTTTTAGCCTCTTAACTTCTCTCCCTTGCATGTGGTTCTGTCCTTGGAGTAGTACAGAACTAATGTACTGTGGTAGGCAGATTTGCAAGTGAATCCATTAGTCATCTATCTTGGGCAAATGATGTAAGCCTGCAAAATGGGAACAATAATAGCATCACCACATAAGGTTGTTGTTGCATTAAATGAAAAAGCATATCAAGTACTTAGCACAGGGCACATGAGAGGTGGTTACTCTGGTTATTTCTTTCCTTATATAGAGGAAAGGTGAAGGTGAGGTAGATATGCTGAGTCTTTGTCAGATTTAGAAATCTCTGAGCAAAGTGTGCCAGATAGACAAGATGGTTCTTCATGGTAGTAAAGCAGGGATACTTACTAATGGGGAGTTGAGGGAGGGAGAAGGAAAGACCAACAAGTTGTTTTCAATCTTCTTCTACCACAGTGTACTGAGGAACGTACTCCTTTTGAGTAGCTGTCAGTGGTTCATGTGGGTTATAGATTCAGTGATTTTTTTTTTTTTTTTTTTGGCCTGGGAAGGGAGGGTTTCTTATAAGTGGTCTTATAATTTGTAAAATTTTCCCAATCTCAGGGAGGTTCTGAGATCCCTCAGAAGAGGTGTGTTTCCCTCTTTCTCACTCCCAATCTAGAGAATCACTGAAACAGACACCAGGAAACCCACTGCTTGACATCGCTATGGAAGAGGAATAGGACGGATTGATTGCAACAGTGGCTCTAAAAATGTGGACCCTGGACCCATATCACTTATATGAGGGGAGAATTTATTAGAAATGAACATATTAATCCTATGAAAATGTATAGAAGAGTAAGAAGTAGAAAACTGAGTCAAGAAAGAAAAGTGAAATTCAAGAATGACAGTGTCAAGACACAATTACTGAATAGTGTACAATCTTTTTGAGGTGATCTTGTAGACACACCCTTCCCTAATACATGCCTCAATTTACCCAGAACCACAATCAGCCTCCCCAGCCAACTCTAAGGAGTAGATCTGATGGCTTCCCATCTAGGTAGTGTTTCTGATTTCCAAGCAGTGTGCTTCTAATTCTTCTGGGGAATGAAAATGGAAACTCTGAGGATACAACCTCTTGGGTTGTTTTCCAGTGACCTACGGAATGACAAGCTCCAGTGCCTACTACTACACCAAAGTGATGTCTGACCTCTTCTTACATACCCCAGCAGTCACTGGAGTCTCCTTTCAGGCCATCAGCAGCATGGCAGACTTCTGGGACGTGAGTATGAGATCTCTACTATTCCCCTTTAATGGCCTGATACCACAAGAGAGAGCTAAGGCCAAGTCAAATGGTCAAGCTGAATTAATGGGTTGGGCTAGAGTGCAGGTGGAGGTGGGTGAGTGATCAGGATGTTGATCTGGGGATCAAACCAGAAATTAGGTCAGAACTGGAAATCAGAAGGTAGGCTAAATTTCAAAGTAGTTTTTCATTTCCTTTTGTTTCATTTTGGTTTGGTTTTGTGTTTGTTTTTTGAAACAGGGTCTTACTCAGACTAGCCTTGAACTCATGGCAATCCTCTTGCCTCGACCTCTCAAATGCTGGGATTATAAGCATGTGCCACTGTGACCAGCCACAAAGTAGATTTTAAATGTGACAGGTCAAGGTCCATAAGTCAGTTGAAAAGTTTAACAAAAAAAGACTGGAGATAAGTTGTGAGTAAGGGTAAGGGTAAATGTCATTCTAAGGGTAGGGGTCAAGAGGAGCCTTGGTCACAGCCAACCCAAATTGTGGTCCAGTTTTCCCAGGGCCCACTTCTGAACAGTTTATACTGGACCAAGTTTTACAACAATCAGAGCCTGGGCCATGGCTCCCACTCTTTCATCTACTATGAGAATCTGCTGCTGGGTGTCCCAAGACTGCGGCAGTTGCGGGTCCGCAATGACTCCTGTGTGGTGCACGAGGACTTCCGTGAAGATATTTTGAGTTGCTACAATGTCTACTCTCCAGACAAAGAAGAACAACGCCCCTTTGGGCCCCTCAATGGCACAGCGTGAGTGCATTTCCCATCAAGGTCACGGGGCTGCCCCTCTGAGCCTGACAGCATCCCAAGGAGGAAGGAACCATTTCCACTGAGGCATAAAAAGCATTGAGGTTGGGCATTTCAGAGGGCATCACCCTGAGTGCCAACTGTGATTTTCTGGAGACCTGGTGTGTGTCACTCAGAGATAGGGCTCTGGACCTGTTCCCACACACAGATCACTATCCCACTGTCCTTCAGGAAGTCCTCCCAGAAAAAGCTTCTCATGGACCAGTTTGCCCAGGGCCCATTGTGGGTGTACAGAATGAATGAAGCTGACCCCGCCACATGAGTCATGGTTGGAAAGTTTGAACATGAGACTGATGGAGAAACAACCGAAGGTTGAGGGTGGATGAGGGAAGAAACAGAAAAGCCTTGGCAGAACAGGAGAGAAGCGGGAGGAAGCAGGAGTCCAGGATAAAAACTTGGCAGGGACTTGTGGGGTCAAGCAGCCAGTTTCACAACTACAACAGTCAAATGATCTTTTCTGAAATTATGGTCCAAATGTTTCCCTTATAGGGACTACCTGAGTTTGGGCCAAAAGTGGGTCTTGGCTTTGTTATCCAAAGCTTTGGGAAATGTAGTGAAAAATAAGACATATTTAAGTTTCAGTATTTCCACAACATAGCTATTTATCTTGGAAATCACTGAGTCTGTTTTCTCTTCTGAAAAATGTAGTTAATATTTTCAAACAGTTATTAGCATCAAAATAATACATATGAAATATATGTGTGATGCTATACATTTGTATTATATACATATCTCATGTAGTAGATATCTCTCATGTAGTGATATATCTTTCATATATACTATATATGTGTGCTTATCACTTATAATATATACATATGTATCCATAGTGTGATCACATATGTAAACACCATGTGTGTGTATAGGAACATGATATATGTGATATTATAATGAAACAGATGATCATAAATTGTTGCCATCATCTTGGGAGATGGGATTTTGGACTGGCTCAGATCTTCCTCTGCTCAGATGGATTTTTCTGTGGCAGGTGGACATACCACTCACAGGATGAACTGGGGGGATCCTCCCACTGGGGCAGGCTCACAAGCTACAGTGGAGGTGGCTACTACCTGGACTTGCCAGGATCCCAACAGGCCAGTGCAGAGGCACTCCAAGACCTTCAGAAGGGGCTCTGGCTGGACAGAGGCACTCGTGTGGTCTTCATTGACTTCTCAGTCTACAATGCCAACATCAATCTTTTCTGTGTCCTGAGGTGGGTCCCCTTTCCCTACTGTATCCCTCCAGCTGTGGTTCCTGGTCCCTGTCTGTTGTGTTTCAGAGGTCCTTCCCCAAACTTGTACCACGTGGTGACCTGGGGAAGAGAGAAAGTGGGAGGTACTGTCCCAGGCCCCGCTAGCCATTTCCCTGCCTACAGACTAGTGGTGGAGTTCCCGGCTACAGGAGGTGCCATCCCATCCTGGCAAATCCGAACAGTGAAGCTGATCCGCTATGTCAGCAACTGGGACTTCTTCATCATTGGCTGTGAGATTATTTTCTGCATCTTCATCTTCTACTATGGGGTGGAGGAGATCCTGGAGCTCCACCTGCACCGGCTTTACTACCTTACCAGCATCTGGAACATATTGGATCTGGTGGTCATCTTGGTGAGAGACAGATACCTTGGATTTGGGACAAAGATAGAGAAGGAGGAACCTTCACCTTAATAGCAGCTCCAAGTTCTTCCTTTCAGAGCTACAAGCCCTCCTTAATTTTAGTCAGATCACTGTGCTATAGCTGCCTGAGCAGGAGGCCGATTGCCCCTGTGCTCAGCCCTTAGGGAACACTGTCTTGCTCACCTCCGCTCACCTGTAATCTGTGCCCTACTTTATATGCACTTGATATTCTTCTCTCTTCTGTCTCTTATCTATACGACCTTAAAAATAAGTGTCTTGCCTTTTTTCTTGTCTCTTTTTTCAAGTATTGTATCGTTTCATCTTCACCTCATCCCTATTAAGAGGATACATTGATTTCTTGACCTAGGTATAGAAGTGATAAGGGTGGGGAGAGTCGTGTTTCTTGACTCCAGTTCCCTATGCCTCTTTCCAATCTATAAATCTGTCACTGGCTCCAGAGCCTTCTTATGGGTTCTAGAACACTTCAGCTGCTCCCCAGTCATCCTGTGCCATTTCATTGGCACCTGAGCTGCTGAACCCCCCTTAGGGAAGGAAGTTTCTTGTCCATCAGTCTTACCTTCTCCAACTATCCCCTAAGATCTCATATTCTAACTTCCACTGAGATCCCATTGACTTCTCTAACAGTCCCATGATCTGTTTCTCACAGCTCTCCATTGTGGCGGTGGGCTTCCATATATTCCGAACCCTCGAGGTAAATCAGTTAATGGGGAAGCTCTTGGAGAAACCAAACACATATGCTGACTTTGAGTTCCTGGCCTTTTGGCAGACTCAGTACAACAACATGAATGCTGTCAACCTCTTCTTTGCCTGGATCAAGGTAATTGGAATTCCCCTGATAGTTCGGCCTCAGGGTATTCATTGTCCCTTCTTTAATAACAGTCTCATTTTCCTTGTCTAGTTTGACACCTCCTGTGAACTCCATATGTCCATGGGGTGGATTTCTCAGTACTTTTCACTTTTTCTTTCACTACCTGGTTTACCTTGCAGATATTCAAATACATCAGCTTCAACAAAACCATGACCCAACTCTCTTCCACACTGGCCCGCTGTGCCAAGGATATACTGGGCTTTGCCATCATGTTCTTCATTGTTTTCTTCGCTTATGCCCAGCTTGGCTATCTGCTTTTCGGGACGCAAGTGGAAAACTTTAGCACTTTCATCAAGTGCATGTGTGTGCCCTGCGCCTTCTCACCTTTGCCTGCCTAGGATTTGCATAATCTTGGGGAAGACGGAGTGGGGAGGTGCATGGGCATGTCTGTACTTAAAGTATCTGGGTGAGAGTCTCTGAAAGCTCAGGTATGTGCTGAAATAATTTACTCACCTGCTGGGTTGCCATCAGATTGGGACAGAAGTGAACTGAGGGATCCATTTGAAGTTAATAAAGTGGGATAGGGATGGGGAATGGGGCCGGGATTTGGTTTGGCTCTGGATAAAGCCTAGATCTGGTCTCTCAGTTTTACTCAGTTCCGGATAATCCTTGGAGACTTTGACTACAATGCTATCGACAATGCCAACCGCATTCTGGGTCCTGTCTACTTTGTGACCTACGTCTTCTTCGTCTTCTTCATACTGCTGGTGAGGGTTCTTCTGAGGACTAGCAACACAGAAGGTCCAGGTAGAATTTTGACCTCTGTCCCACATTTAGGATTATGGTGAGATAAGCAAATCAAGGATCAAGAGAGGTAGTGTGCATGTTAGGGGCAGGTATTCTTTTGGGTCTTCTGAGAGATGGCTAATATAGTCAGCATGGCCCCATAGTAAAGCAGTTTGCAGAGTATATGGGAACCTGGTGACTGTCTTGAAAAAATCAAATACCTACCCTCCAAGGATGAAAGAGGAGAGAAAACTATCTCAGAAAGAGAAGTAGCTGCCTGTAGAACCTTTTATGCCTATTCTCCAAGACAAGATACCATTCCTTTGGGGCATCTTGCTCTTTCTACTGTCACTGCTTGATAATTGCTCATCTGTCTCTGTCTCTCTCTCCTTCTCTCTCTCTCCCTCTCCCTGCCCCTGTCTTTCTCTCTCTCTTTATTTCAATACCTGAGCTAGATTTTTTTTATTAACACGGCCAGAACATTTCTTTATTTTATTGGTGAATGAGGATACCAACACAGATGGAAGATAGGTGATAAAGACAGCACAACTGTACACTTGTCCAGAAAAACTTCTACTTTCAATGATAGGTAGAACCTTGTATAGAGGTCTGTGGCTTATGTTAGATTATGTCTGTTGTTATTACAACAACTGAAAATAAAGACATCAGGTCAATGCTGAGAATACTGGCCCCGTTAGAATATGTGTCTAGGACATGGGGTGAGTGGGGTGAATGCTTTTATTGAACCTGAGGGTAAAATCACGGTCTCCACTTCATTCTTTAGAACATGTTCCTGGCCATTATCAATGACACGTATTCAGAGGTCAAGGAGGAGTTGGCTGGACAAAAGGATGAGCTGCAGCTGTCTGACCTACTGAAACAGGTGACTACTCAGTCTTCTTAACCACACTTCTGCATCTATATCTGATTTCAAGGCTCTGTGCCATAGTCTGTTCTGAGTGGTATAGAAGCATATACTTCTGTGTCTTCAACATGTCCCCGAAAGTCTGGCATCCTTTGGGTGGAGAAGAAGGCCAGGGACAATGAGGGGTCTATGAAACTGCTGTCTGTCTCATTTTTCTTTCAGGGCTACAACAAGACCCTATTAAGACTGCATCTAAGGAAGGAGCATGTTTCAGATGTGCAGAAGGTCTTGCAGGGTGGGAAGCAAAAGATCCAGTTTGAGGATTTCACGAGCACATTAAAAGAGTGAGTAACCAGAGATCCAGCCTTCTTTGATACTGGCCTGTAAGTTCTTGATCCTCATCTATACATCCATATAAGCCTTTAGTCTTGGAATGTGTATCTATGATCTTGACTTGTAAGCTTCTGACTTTGGTCATAGATATTTGATACCAACCTTCAAAATTGTGTCCTTGCTTTAAATAGAATATAACAATATACTATTTAATATATTAGTATACAACAATACTATATGACAATAGCATATAACATTCTTGACTTTAACAACAATTAGAACTAATTTAACAATATAATATAATTCCCTCATTATTGTATAAACACCCCACTTCTGCAAAACATTGAACAAATGTATTTGTGAGACCCAGCTGTGGGCCAGGTCCTGAGTAGGGGACAAGACAAAATAATTAAATGAGACAAAGTCTTTGTCCTCTAGTTCATAGACATGTAAACAAACCCAATCACAGAATAAGCTAAACAACTGAAGTGACTGATGTAAAGAAAGGGAGCATAAAGTAACAAGTTATCAATTCCCTTTGAGCTTAAGGGAAGGCTTGTTGGAAGAGGTAATGTCTGAATAAAGTCTTTAAAGATGAATATCTTACAAACAGACAAACAGAAGAAGTCCATTTTAAGAAGAAATGAAAGCATACACAGAGACGTAGAGGTCTGAAGTCAAGCAGCATTGCTAAGATATAAAATAAAAGATGGGCCATAACAGGAGATGAAGCCAGAGAAATGGGCAAGGGCCACACTGGGGAAGTCCTCAATCCAAAGAACATGTGCCCAAGAGGGATTTTTAAGCAGATAAGGGGTGCACTTGCACTGGACTTGCTCTTTCTCCTGTTTTGTTTTGCTTTGCTTTGCTTTTGAGACAGCGACTGGCTATGCTGCCCAGGCTTGTCTCAAATTTTTGGACTCAAGTGATCCACCTCAGCTTCCTGATTAACTGGAACTTTGGGGTACCATGCATAGGTATTAGACCTCCATTTAAAAATATTAGCAATATTATGGAGGTTAGAGTGAAGGGAAGCTGGGGGAAGGGGTGGCAGGTTATTTAGAGGCAAGAAGACATTGCCATAACCCCTGCAGGAAATCATGAGGCCCCAAATCCAATCAGCACAAATCAAGACAGGAAAAAGGCACAGATTTAAGTGATTTCTTAGGGGTAAAATTTCTAGACTTTGGAGATACTAGCTTTCCCATATGATCCTCTTCTTTCCCAGAGGTCAAGACCCTTACCTCTTAAAAGAGTCTAGCGAAAGGGGAGTCCATACTTGGAGCAATCACAGCCCCCAAAGTGTAGAAGTCATTTCATTATCGTGTTCTCCTCAGACTGGGGCACACAGAGCATGAGATCACTGAGCTCACGGCTGCCTTCAGTAGGTTTGACCGGGATGAGAATTGCATTCTGGATGAGAAGGAGCAGGAACAAATGCGACAGGACCTGGAGAAGGAGAGGGTGAGAAGCACTGGTTGATGGGAAGAAAACATAAAGATGTTGTTCTCTGTCCCCACCCCCAACATAGCTGGAACACAAACCCAAACTGAAAATTCCCCTGTGGATGAACAGGAAGGAACTCTCTAGAATAGTGCTTCTCAAACTCAGGCATATTAAATATCCTAGCAAGCTTTTTAAAATTATTGTACTCAGGCCACACATCCTAGCAGCTGTGAGAATTTAATTTAATCAGAAGCTGTGAGAGTGAGGTTCAGACATCAATAGTTTCTAAAACTTTACAGGTGATTTCAATGCATATCCAAGATTGAAAGCTGTTGTTCGAAAATATAGTCTTAGGGAAGGAGATCAATTTCCCAAGAATCCCTGACAAATCTCTGTGAGGACTTGCCTTCTCTTAAGAATTTTCAAACTCTAACACTCAGTTGGTCCTGCAGTGTTTGCTCTGTCCCTGTCTAGTTTAGAGCATAAGAGTCAAGAATAGCGTAACCACAGTCTAGAAAAAAATACCAAGAATTCTGGTACTGTCCCTCCTTTCCCAAACTGAGTTGGCATCTAGCAAACACCTCATTAATCAAATCTTCAAGATGCTCATGTTTAGTTTCTTTGGGAAGAAGCTCTCCAGAGATGGACCAGCACCATCATACTGACCATATTGTCTTGAGTCTGAAAAGGAAGGAGAATAGCAAGAACTTGATTCCACAGCTTGACCTTGGGAGCCCTTTAGAACAGGTGTTGGAATAGGTACTGATGGCTTCTCAGAATCATCTCCTTTCTCATGTTTGATTTCTGATTAGGTGGCCCTCAATGCTGAGATTGAGAACCTGAGCCAGCCCACTGTGTGTGGCAAATGGGCCTCAGAGGCTGCCAGAACAGGAGGCTGGGTTTCTGGAGAAGAATTCTACACGTATGTGCAGCCAGGAGGACAAAGTTGGCTGTGTTTAATACCCTATTTTAAACTTCCCACAACCTTCCAATTCCTTGCCCTTGCCCAGGGAAAACATCTACCTCCCTGTGATTCTCTTTACATAATTGGGCCTTACCTTCCCTTTCCCATCCAGACCGGCACTATTCTGTCATTCTTGTCCCTGTAAATATCTAGTGCCCCCTGCCATATTTCTGCTTCCTTGGTCTCTCTCACATCCTACACAGGCTTACAAAGAGAGTTCTGCAACTGGAGACTGTTCTGGAAGGAGTCATGTCCCAGATTGATGCTTTGGGCTCAGAGCTGAAGATGCTAGAGAGGGAGGAGCAATTGACTCCCTCCTTGGGAGTGGTGAGTGGCCCTTCATTTGGATCCTGTTAGTTCCCCACAGCTGAACTCTAGTCAGTTAGGGTTGTGGGGAGAAAAGCACTTTTGAAAGACATTTGTGTTTAGGGTCCTGGAGAACCAGGTTCATAGTAGTCACTGTATCAGTGGAGGTGAGTTGGGAGGGGAGGCCTAGAAGTTGGTTGCTGTGGCCTAATGACTGCCTTAGCTTCCAGAACAGGTCTGCGTCTTAGCCTGTTTGGGTTGCTATCATAGATTTACTGGCTCATAAACAATAAAAATTTATTTCTTAGAGTTTGGGAGGCTGGAAAGTCTAAGAGCAAAGTGATAGCAATATCTAGGGAGGATTTTCCTGATTTACAGACAGCTGTCTTCTTGCTATGTTCTCAAATAGTAAAAAGAAAAGAGAATTCTTTTATAAGGGCACTAATCCCTTTAATGAGGGCTCCATACTCATGACCTAAAAACTTACCAAAGGCCTAACCTCCTAATACCATCATCCTGGGGGCATAAATATTTTATCTATAGCAGTTTGGGTTTTCTTGAATCAGATCCAGAGAAAGGGAAAGTGGGACACAAACTCCTTCAAGTGACCTGTTTATTTTTCTTTCAACAGGAGGAACAAGCCACTTGGGAACACCTGCAGCCAGCCCCAGCTGTGGCTCCATTCCTTTAGGGAGTTCAGGGTAGGCAGAAGAGGAGTCCTAAAGCCTTTGAAATCAGACTCTGTTTTTCTCTCTGCCTCTCTCACAACCCCTCTCCATATGCTCTCTACTTCTGCTACCCTGAGGCCCATCATGGTTACTGCTGAGTCCAACCCTGTCTGGCCTTTTGAGCCAAGTTTCTGTGTGTCAGTTGGGCATCATGTTTAAGCTTGTGACTCAGTATTTGTTATGTAACCACATAGTTCTGTAGAATAATACTTTCCACTGGACTTCTTATTCTTTGTGAACTTAGTGAAAAAAAGTGTTGTAGTGTTAAAAATGTGAATAACAAGCAAAATACATGAAGGGAGAATAATGACTCTCACTAAGATCCTGACAGCCATGACTCATAAAGATAGAAGGCAAGAGAGTAGACAATATCTAGACGTCTTCCTATTTACCAGTAAATCTTACACTTATCCTTTGTGCATCTGGAGACCTACTGTTACAACCCATAGGTTTCTTGTCTTCCCCCAAAGAGTTTCTCTGTAAAAAAGAATGGGAACTGTTAGGGTCAGATTCCAACACTACAGAGGAGTTAAAGTGAGGCCCCTCCTCTAGAAAAGTCCATGAAGGTTCTTGTGGTGGAGGCTGCGCCTGGCATTCCACTAAATGCTAAGAACTCAGACAGCTGTAAATCAAGAGACAAAAATGGAGGCTGAAAGGAATCATGGGAGGAAATAACCTCAGGATTCAGACATTTTTGGACTAATATGTGATGGGCTTTGACTCTAGTTTTTCATAGGACAATGCAGTTTCCCAGGTGACTATCAATAAAACTCCTTCAAAAAAACAAGTGTTTGCATTTGCTTCTGGTATTAAAGACAGAAGAAAAGAGTTTGGAACTGTGAGCTATCCATGTACTTGGATTGAGGTGGGTTCATACTTTCTGCAAGGTATACACTGGGCACAGGGACAACATGAAGGAGCAGGGCTGCCATGGCAGTCCTGAAATAAAAACTTCTGGTTCATAACAATGTTTTTAGATGGTAGGTACTACCATCTAAACATGACTGTTTCATGAGGAAGAATGGAGACAGGTAACCTAGGGAAACAGACGTAATCCTCAGGGTAGAGAGTCAGCTTGAGGGACTAGAGGCAGGGGTAGGTAGTGTGTGTGTGTGTGTGTGTGTGTGTGTGTGTGTGTGTGTGCAGCTGGGGACACCAAGATTTTAGGTGTACAGGAGTCTGTGTCCTGAGACCTGCTCCCCCACCACATGACCTTTTTTACTCCTGATTTTCTACCTTCTATTGCTCTATTTTTCTCATTCAATCCCTTCACCCACTTCTGTTCTCTCATTCCATTAAGTACTCTAAACACCAAAGGGATCTGTGGAACAGCTAGAGGTAAGTAAGGTAACCAGTGTATCCTCATCCCTAAAAAGTCACAATTCAACAGACTGTATCAACCGAAGAGAAGTAGGTGCCTGCCTGCAGAATAAGACATGGGATCCAATAGGTGGTGTTAACTCGGGACATTATTTAGGATCAAGAATCAAAGGCCTGAATCAGTTTTCCCAAAGCCTACATAAGACTTTACCTAGAAATCATGGATTCCCTGAGCAATCTTTTGTGACAAACACTTGCCAGTACTCCGAGTGTCTCAGGAGGAGTCAAGTCAACCTGTCTCCGGGGACATTGGTCAACAGGACACTCGATGCTCAACTAAACCCAGCTGGGTGGTGGGTGGTACAAGCCAATGACCGCTGTGAAGTGACCGGGGTGAGACTCTCCAGGGATAAGCGCATCTGCAGTCCCATACATCGTGACTCTGCAATCAGATCGATACACTATAGCCTCTTAGCTTCAATTTTGGCTTTCGGGCTTTTACTTTGCTGGAATTCATTGTTTGTGACTCGACTGTGGCGAGACCCTTAGGATCACGACACTGCAGCACCGACAAGGAGGCCGGGGCACTACGGCCGGGTCACGTTCAGCGCGCAGTCCAGGGCGCAGACTCTGTGCGCACGCGCAGAATCCCAGACCCGGAAGCAGCTCAGGGCTGGGCATGGCGGCGGCAGCTGAGGGCGTCCCTGCGCTGCGACGGGAGGAGCCGGCTAGAGGTACCGTACCCGCGTGCCTGGAGATGACGCATCCGGTGGGAGACCTGGGGCTCCGGGCAGGGATCCAGGACAGCGGGGTCGTGTGTGTGGTTGGCGGGAGCGGGCTGAGAGGAGGGGCACGTCTGTCTGTCCTATCAAGGCGACTGAGGTGGTTTGGCTGGAGGATGGGGTCTGAACGAGCAGTCTGTGCAAGGGAGCAAAGTTGGCGTGTCGGGTGGGCAAAGACGAAGTGAGGGGCTTCAAATTCTGGCGGATGGAGAGTGGCGCGTACTTGATCGAATTGAAGACGGGTCGAGAGGGCTGTAGAAAGAGGCTGCTTTGGCTGGACTGGACCGGGTGTAGGGCAGATCACTTACCCGTTCTCCCTTGGCCCAGACGATGCCGCCGTGGAGACAGCCGAGGAAGCAAAGGAGCCCGCCGAGGCTGACATCACTGAGCTCTGCCGGGACATGTTCTCCAAAATGGCCACGTACCTGACTGGGGAACTGACGGGTGAGGCGCGCTCTGGGTTCGTTCAGGTAGTGTGCTCGCCAAGGAGGTGCTTTAGCAGCGTCGGGCCGCAGCTCCCTCCGGTACCCAACTTGCTGGTGAGAAGGTGGAGAGGTGGTGAATGGGAGGAGCTTCATTCCTTCCCTGGAATGAAGTTCAGACACCATGTGCAAAGACACGAACCACTTTCAGAAACAGGCAAGAATATGTACTTGATACAACTCTGCAGGCACGTATGCAGCAAAGAGAGATGGAGGGAGGGAAGGGATGGGAAAGGGAGACAGGCGGACAGGGAGAAAGGGACAAAGAACATGAATTTAATACCTGGCAATATTAACCAAGAAGTACTTCTTGGGGCAGTTGTATTTTGAGCAGGGCTGTGAAGAGAACAAATGGTGAAGAGGGAGGAAATGTTACAATTATTGGTCGGGGTGCAGTAAACAAGGAGTTTATTTGGCTAAATCAGATGTGTTTTCTGGGATGAAGAGAAATGAAATCGGGGAATGGGGGAGTGACCTGCAGATTTAGGTTGACGTGAGGATTTGGTGAGCTACTCTTCGGGACATGGTTAGTTTCCAGTTTACCCAGTTTGTATTTCCAGGTGGACATATGGCCTCTGTGTGGAGAAGAGTCAGAAAGTGGTCTGGTTTAGTGTGGCCTCTCGTAAGCATTTATTGTGTCGTTTCACTTCCCCGGGAAATCGCTGTGAACTAAAATTGTGAACCAAATTTATGAAAAAAGCCTTGGAGCTTTTGGAGGTTGTGAGTTTCTGATTTATCAGTGTGGTTATTTGTTTATTTTTGAGCAAGAGAAACCAAGTAACAAAATCTAGATTTTTGACTACTCTAAAAATCCAAAGATTTGGTAATACTAATGACCCATTTGTGTGCAGTTGTATTTAACTAGAGTTGAGCAGATGACTTCTCTAAAATGACTAGTATGATTCACTTTGTCCCCACTACTCCCTATTTTCTTCCCTTTACTAAAACCTATTGTTTGTTATCATTTATCCCTATTCCCTTACTGTTAATTTTACTAGTTGTAGTACAGACATGGTTTCATGTACCAGGACAGACACTGTACCAGTGTCTTTATCAGAATTGGTAAAGGAAGTGATAGACTAAGAGGGAGAGAGCACTTGTGGAAGTGAATAATTTTCTTATATATGTTTAATATGCAAACATTTGATTTGCTTCACTTATTTACATTATCTTGCATGTTTCTATCTTTGCTGACTTCTTCCTTGTTTCAGAGAGACCAGAACTTTATAACAGTGAAAGTACAGATACAGAGGAGAGAGACCAGAGATAAATGATCAGTAGTTTAGATGAAAAGCAGTGATGGTCTGAGGTAAAATTATGAGAAAAGGAATGGAAAGAGAGTGGGTCCAAGAATGTTACAGAAGTAAACTTTGTAGGACTTGTTGAAGTGTATATTGAGCAACTTAAGGTACTTCTGAGGTTTAGGCCTGGGTGATACCATCAACAAAATAGGGAAGCTGGAGAAACGATGTTTACTGTGAAAATAGTGTTTTGAGGTTTGGCTGCTTGTAGATATTATTAGAACACTCAGATGAGTGGCACATGTGAGTCCAGAACTCAGAGCCTGATCAGAGCAGGAGAGAGCAATTTGTGGGTCACCAGCATAGTGGTAGGAGAGTAGAAGCTGTACAGGATATTACCAGGGAACAGCTTAGAGTAGGCCTCATTAGGACCTAAAGTCTTAGAGGATATCTGTATGGGCCAATTAATTTGTTTTTAACTGTGTATTAGACCAAGAATCCCTAAGGACTTATTTCTTACAAAATTAACTTAAAGCAAATTATTTCCCCATTATTGTCATTCTTACATGCAAAAATGCTTTAATGGAGAAGAAGCTAGCATAAGCTTGGGAATGTTTGGGGGATGTAAATATCAGTTATGTGTCACAGCTGAGAAGTTGAGAGCTAATGGTTAAAGGGGTTGGTTGAGAAAGGATCTGGCATAGACACCTAAGAAGATTTTGTCTTCATTGTTGTTTTGCAGTTTTTTAATTTTTAAAATTAAAAAAAAGACAAAAAAAGGAAACCTAAGAAGAACAGTCAGAAAGAGATGGAAAAAGAAGTGTAGTATAATAATATAGCAGCTGCTAGGCATGGTGGTGCATGCCTGTAACCCCAGCACTCAGGAGGCTGAGGTGGGAGAATTGCCACGATTTCAAGGCCTGTATGGGATACATAGTGAGAGTTCAAGGGCAGCCTGAGCTGTATAGAGAGACCCTCTGCCTACCCCCAAATACTATAGCAGCCAAGGGAAATGAGGATTTCCCCAAGAGAATGAAAAGGTACAGGAGAATAAGCTTTTAAAAAATGCCATAGGTTTGGTGCATTAATGACCTTAAAACTAGTAATTTTTCTGGGTGGTTGGGGCAGAGAACAGACAATGGTTTACAAGAATGAATGGTAAGAAACAGATGGCAGTGTCAGCTACTATTTAAAAGTGTCTAGCAGTGAAGATCCTGGGCCTTATTGAGCAAATGATGTAGGTGTAATGCGTAAAGGGAGTGCTTTGGAGCTGGAGGAACCCTAAATATATTTCTAGTTGGAGGGAAATATGCCAGCATGGAGAGACAGGTTGGAAAGGCAAGTGAAAGAGAGGTCTGAAGAGGCAAAAGGTTTGGGATCAAGAGCACAAGAGGAGGAGTTGTCTTTGTCCTGCCTTGAACTACTGCTTGACCTAATACTCCACATTCCAATGATCTAAGACACATCTCAAGGGCATCATATCTTCTGTTTGTTTTAAAGCCACCAGTGAAGACTATAAGCTCCTGGAAAACATGAATAAATTAACCAGCTTGAAGTATCTTGAAATGAAAGATATTGCTATAAACATTAGTAGAAACTTAAAGGACTTAAACCAGAAGTGTAAGTAATAGTTTTTATAATTAAAGGTGTTTGTATTAAATGTTCTTTTGTGCTTGGAGCCAAAGAAAAGAGGAGGGAACATGGCACCCTGTCTCCTGGGGACACCTTTGCTAAAAATGAATTACAAAATCAAGGTGAATTTCTTTCCTTCTGAAGATTAGCATTGTAGTATGTTTTTTTCTGCCTCCAAATCTTGATTTTATCAGTTTAGTCCTGGAAGGGGTGGAAGAAGAGGGGTAACTAGATTCTAGTAAACTGATTGACAATCAGTTCCATTAAGGACTGCTCTATAAACAGAAAAACAAAATCTATAGATGGAAAAGGCTAATCTAGACCATAGTTGGATTTATTTTTCCACTGATTTATATTTGTGTTTCTTGTTACAAGAGCAGTGGCAAACTTATGGCACACATGCCGCAGCAGGCTGATTGTATCACTGAAAGCTCTAAAAGGTTCGCCATCACAGCACTGGCCCATCCTCCCTCAGTATGGCAGTACCCAAGAAAGTGAATCAGTCAAGAAAGGCTGAGGAACAAGAAATTTTGAAAAGAAGAAAATTAGTAGCTTTCTTTGACTAGGTCACAGTTGTGCCCAGTTGTGAGTTATTGTCATCTAAGAAGTCATCCGCCCTGCTAACGATGAAAATCATGTCACTCTACCTAGTCTGTTTGAGTCATAGCTGAAGAGACATTAACATTCTTACTTTCTGCTCTTTTTTTTATACTTCTTGTTGAAAATATATAAACATGTGGTTTGTCTTTAAAGACGCTGGATTACAGCCTTACCTCGATCAGATCAACGTAATTGAGGAGCAGGTAGCAGCTCTTGAACAGGCAGCCTACAAGCTGGATGCATATTCAAAAAAACTGGGTAACCATTTTTCTATTTTGATTTCATAGAGTCCATCTTGCCAGTGATGTCCTTAACTAATGTAGCATTTGTTGTGTGCACATATTGATCTATTAAAATCTAATAAATACTTATTATTAAAAATGACATTTCCCAAATACTTAATGACCTACTGGGCAGTAGTGTTTTGCCTGTGTTATGTTTTTTATTCTCCTAGTAATTTGTGAGTTAAGTACATAATATTTTTATTCCCATACTATAGGGAAAGAAAATGTGGTTTAAGAGGCTAAGTAACTTCCTTAAGGACACAAAGCCAGTAAAACACATGGAAGAGCCATATTCCAAGTCAGGACTGTTTGATGACAATGCTCAAGCTTTTAGTTGTGATTCAGTATACTGAATCATTTTTAATAAGGTAGATATATATGTCTTTAAAGTGGAATAGTCAAACAAAGATTTTGTTTTTGAAGGGTTACTTTTTTACTTTAAGAAAAAAACTAATACTTTTTAGTGTTGCTAGCTGTTGTGGATGCTATATTCCTGGTGAAAATTAATGAATTTGTTTTTATCCTATACACATTATTTTATTTTCATCATTGACAGCTGGTGACTTCTTCAAGTGGTTTGTAGCAGGCTAAATTTTTTTTTTTTTTCCGGTACCAGGAATCGAACTCACGACCTTGCACTTGCCAGGCAGGCGCTGTGCCACTGAGCTAAATCCCCAGCCCCCAGCAGGCTAAATTTTAATATCCATAGTGAGAAACAGTCAGTTTCTTTGACTGCAATTACATTTACTACATGTTTACTGTGAATCTTACCATGTAGAAGACATCCCACTGTATGCTTTTTTCTTTTTTGAGACAGGGTCTTGCTATGTAGTACAGCCTGGCCTTGAACTCACTATCTAGCCTAGGCTGGCCTCAAGCTTGCAGCAATACTCCTGCTTCAGCCTCCCGAGTGCTGGGCCACTGTGTACTTTTGAAGTTTGAAAGGGAAAAAAAAAATCTGTCACAGCAAGTTTATATGATAACTTTTTAAAATCTCTATATCTTTCCAAGTTACTTTCCTGGAGTGAGATGTAAGGATAAGAGCATAAAAGGGGAAACATACATCTATGCATCCTGAGTATTCCAGGCTGATTTCAGAAGGCACCTGGGATTGCCAAGGAGTTTCTGGTGTTTAGTAAGACTCCAGGTGGGTCAAGTACCAGGAGATATGTTCAGTTCTGGGGAAGCTTTTCAAGCAGGTACAATATTGACATAGTTAGAACTTAGTGACCTTGTTTTGGTTCTGGGTTTGTACATTTGGCTCTTTAATTTCAGGTTGTGTAGATCAGTGATGTGTATGTTTGGGCAGGTGATGCAATGAAGCTAAAAGATTTTTAGAAATATAATATGCATATCTGAACTTGTTTGGAAATACTGAAAGTGTCTGTGAGAGTCAGTGTTAAAAGACATAATGCTTTTCTTTTCCCCATGCAGAAGCCAAGTATAAGAAGCTGGAAAAGCGGTGAAAAACTGAATTTTGTAACATAAAGCCCTCTTAAATGTGGAAGAATGTTTTATAGCAACTGAATCCTGAGGCTGATGAAATGTCAAAATTCCTCAAAAGGAAACTTTGCTGGTCACCCCAGGAACATCCCAATGTTGAATAAACTCAAAGACTGTGGATACTCCTGGACCTTCTTTGAGGCAATATCTGCCAGAAATTCACACTTGCAACTCCTTTCTTGTTACTTGAACGCTTCAGCATCCATTCAAGACAGACACTCTCTCAAAGTTCAGGATAAACCTGCGCTTATCAGTAGAATTGAATGAGAGGACCTATTTTCTCTGGCAGTGGTTGATTATTATTTTCTTAAATGGCTGGTTTTTGAGTTACTGTGTAAATGGTTGGGTTTTTTTTATTAGCAATGCTAATGTTATTAACAAGAGTCTAAATTAAAAAAGGAAAACAAAACAAATGTGGTTTCTGTAGTGTTTTATCTTTTGAAACTCAGTAATTTACTTTTCTATTACATTGCAAATAACAAAATGTTAAAAAACAATTCTAAGCCGACTGAGCAGAAGTAATGAAAGTACTGTTTTGATAGCTTGGTAAGTGGAATGGGCCCCTCTAGTTTCTTCTGTGTGTGAGTCAAATGTCTCAGTGGGATGGTGTCAACATATGTTCTTTTTGAAATGGGGGACTACCACAAATTTGAGGCTGGCCTGGGCTACATAGTGTTGAAGACCATCCTGGAATAGATAGTGAGCCTCCCCTACCCCCAAATGTGATGAAGACAAGATGTATACATGTTGGGTGAGAAGGTGAAGATTGTCATCCATGAAATAAAATATTTTAAAAATATTTCATACTTGTGTCTGTGGGGTAGGGGTGCTTCTGGGAACCGGATGGTTATCCTTTTACACTAACAACATGAGAAGATAAAAGTTACTGAATGACCAGTTTGGAAGAGAACCAACCTTATCAAGAGCAGAATGTGAGAAGCCTCCAATTCCATTTCCAAAGGAGTTTATTTCTGTTTCTGTTTATTCCCACTATGTCTATGCCAGACCCCATCACTTGTCCTTTGCTCCTTTGTACTACTGTGGTCCTATCTCAACTGTCCTATCCCATCTTCCACACTGTACCACAGCAATCTTTTAAAATGTGAACTAGACACATTGCTCCTACTTAGAATCCTTTTGTGACTTTCATGGCTTCTGCAAAGGTCAGGTTTATATCGTTATGTATACAAGGCCTCTACTTTAAAAAAAAAATTGAATTCTACTTCCTATATTTACAATATAATTACAATTCCTATAATTACAATTCCACTCCTATTTACAATATATTCAGCTATCTTTAGCTACATTCAGTTTTCACAGATGAGAGTTCATAAACATTAGAATAGATGTGGATATACAGGAAATTTACAAAGATAGTATAGAATTCTATAGGTGAGTTTCTGTATCTATTATTTCCTCATCTTAGATTTATTGCCTGAACATACTTGGCAAACTTTCAGTCTTGATTGCCATTTGGGGTAGCGCTGTATTAGCCAAAAAGTAGGGAAAAAAACGCCTGCTTAGCGTGCTAGTAAAGAAGGGCATCCTCATTTATGAGGTAAAGAAATTAGTATTTTCTCCAAAAGCATTGCACAAATTGTGGGGAAAACCATAAAAGCTTTGGGAGTTCTTGCTTAGAGTTATATTTAATTTTGACTTACTTGGATATCCATCTGTCAGAAATTCCTTTGTTTCTATTCCTCATTGTACACTTTGTCTCCTACTAATTAGCCTGCACTCCTCAGAAAAGTCAAGGTAAAAAACTAGCAAAAAGTTTGGTAGAGTTTTGTTAAGAGACTAGATATACAGCCAAATGGAAGTGTGAAACCTAATTGATTCTTGAATGCAGACAAACCATAGGTATAAAATCAACCTGGGAAAACAACTGAAGAACTTTAAATATGGATGTGTCTTAGGTGATATTATGAATTAATGTTAATTTTGTTAGACATGTTAATAGTATTGTGGTTATGTAGAACGATGATGTTCTTATTCTGATTTTTTTTTTTTTTTAATCCTGGTATTGGGGTTTGAAGCCAGGGTCTTCATCCTAAATTGTCCAGGCTGGGCTCAAATTTAGGATCCTCCTGTCTTGGTCTTCCAGAGCTGGGATTACAGGCATGCACCACAGCAACAGAGTGTTGTCCCTATTACAAGACAGATGCTGAGGTATTATGTCTGCACTTTCAAAGGACTCAGCGAAAAAAATGCTTGGGCACTTTGAGGGAAAACGTGCACAAGTTTGACAACGTGCTGACACTGAATCAAGGTGATGGGCATTACTCTTAAATGTGTAATAGGTTTAAAACTTTATAAAAAACGTGAATGAAACGGGTCAGCCTCACTCACTAAACTAACATGGTTAGGTTAGGTTTGGGCTCGACATTGTGCCAGGAAATTACTTGTAGCTGACTAACTTCAATTGCTTGGGGTGGGGGCGGTATTTATAATTGGTTTTCTTTTGGTCATTTCCTCTTTTTCCCTCTAACCCTTTCCTTTCTTCTTGATTCTGCTCGAGGCAAACCGCCCAAAATATTTCTGTGCCTCGGCGCTCTCCGTAGATACTGGACTCTCATTGGCTAAGGTATGCTGACGTCATATTGCAGCGCGGTGGCGTTTTCCTAGGAACGTGGGTTCGTGTTCCGGATTGTAGGTGACTGTCCCAGCCAAGGATACTGGAACTAATGGCTCAGAAGCCTCTACGCCTGTGAGTGACCCTGAATCGGAAGTGCGTGCGTGTGTGCGTGTGTAAAGAGAGGCGGGGTCAAGGGGTCGCAGAGCTGCTCTGAATGTTTGCCTGGCCGGAGTCGGTCTCTTGCAGGCGGTTTTCGCCTTTGAGAAGGGTTTTTCTGCGACAACCCCTGGAAGAGGCGTAAGCTTCCGGAGTCAGGGGTCCTGCACCTTGTGCGGTCCTGGCCTGTGACACGTCATCTCCTCTTCATTTCTCCCCTCGCATCATTTGTTTATTAGCCAGATGTTTCTAAATTTGAAGCACACTAATGGGCCCTTGACACTGACAGAAAGGGTAGAGAGTAGCTTTGCCCTGGCGCACTCAGGGCGGGGGAGTGGGGTGGTGAAAGTGTAGGGGAAGATGGTTCCGCGAGAACTTTCTTCATTCAGCAAGTATTTATTGAATAACTGCGGTGTGCAAGGCGCAGTGCTTAGCATTGCACAGATGGAGTTCCTGCTCTAGTGGAGCTTGTATAGAGAAACAGGTATTAACCAAAGAGTACAGATACACGATAAAATTACAAAAGTGGTGTGGTAACATGGTTCTGGGAGGATGTATAGTAGTAGTATTTGGCCTAATGGTAGGAATCAGAGGAGGTTTCCCTGAGAAAAATGGGGTTTAAGTCCTTTTAAATATTTTTTTGTCGTTAAGCTAGAGAAATCATTAAAACGTTTATACTCCTCTGAATGATCAAATCTTCGTTTTGGACAGTGATTCTGGCTGCAGTGGGGAAATAAGTTAGAGCAAAAGTAGAGGCCAGATAGGATTAGATAGAATGATGAGGAAAATTAAGGAAGTGAAGGTTTACTGAGGAGATGAAATCAGTAAGGCCCGTTTGATTTGATTGTGAGTTGTGATTGTTCAGTTATAGATCTCTTTTCTTCAGCGGGATAGGGAACATTAGAAAGAGGCCCAAATGAAAAAAATATATATATGGGGTGTGTGTGTGTGTGTGTGTGTGTGCGCGCGCGCGCGTGTGTTTCTGTCACTGGGATCAAAACCAGGTCTTCACACATGCTAGACAAGCACTGCACCACGGAGCTACATCCTCAGCCTGTAGATAATAAATTTTGAGTGCCCTTATGATGTACAAACTGGACACTACATCTCCCAGAAATAATTATAATTCCATATAACAGTCACTATGGGAGAAGAAGTGAAGGATCCTGTGAGAGCGTTAAGAGCTGGTAACTAATAGGGACTGGACGGTTCCATAAAAGAACTGGTGCTCAGAAATTAAATCAAAAAATTTAACAGTTTATGACAGCACATACTGTGAGATGCTATATGGGCTTTTGAGATTTTGAGATGAGAGTGACTTTCTGTACTGGTTAACGAAGTTTCAGAGATATTTTGAGCCCTGAAGGAGGGGGAAAAAATTTAGACTCAGGGTGGTAGGGTGGGACTACTAGGAGAGATAATATCTTCTAGGGAATGGCAGAGAGAGTAATTAAATCAACAATATTGGAAGGTTTCAGCATGATCACACACTGATGCTTACATGTTCCTTCCAGTATCTAATAGAAGCACAATGGTCTTGGTAACTGAAGTCATTTTTTCTCATCTTTAAAAACCTACACAAGAACAACCAGATCAAATAAATGTGTAGCTTCTGTGTGTGAATGAACATTCCCTTTTGCTTCATATCTGAATGCTGCACATCAGTTTGGATTGAATATTGTGTTTGTGTATTTATGCTTTGATTCATAGTAACTTATGTTATGGAATTGATTTGCATTGAACACAAACTAGAGAAATAAATGGCTGAAAGAGCCAAAAAAACAAACCAAGATATTAAGGAAATGATGTAAGAATAGGAAAACCATATAAATCAGAATTAAGAGTCTGATGCACTACCAACTGAGCTAGCCACATGCCCCATAAATCAGAATTAGAAAAGCTGAAAAATAGTAGAAACCACTTCACAACTTGGAGCAAGTTTGCCTTACCAGTCTTGCGTCTTGGCATGTTATTTCCCGCCCCATATTCATGCCTCTTGTCATAGCCCTTTCTGTATAAACTTATCATAGTATCTTCCCTACCCTGATTGTAAACTCTTTGAGGATTTAACAGAGTCTTCCTCCTCTTTATACTACTCACATATTCTTAGCATTGTATTTAGAATTTTGCCCATAGCTTAATGTGTCAGTATGTGTTTGTTGAATGAATGACTGAACCCCTTCACTAAGATAGAGGCACTGGAAATAAGGAGAGAATGAATGTGGAAAATGTTGGAAAAGAGCTTGATGGGACTTGGTGACTAGATGGCATTTTGGACTATTGGTGACCTGTCCATAAAACTTGGGAATGAGAAGAAGCTGGCTCAATTGTGAAGGAGATAAAAACCTAAAATTTAGATATAGTGAGTTGGAGGGTTGATGAGACCTTCATGTGGAGCTTCTCAGTGGTTAGTAATAGCTTACATGTACTAAACCTTGTAAGGACAGCAACTAGAGCACTTATTTATCTAATCCAGAAGACTACTACAGACATACCAAATCTGGCAGGCCCATTTGTGTTTCTTGAGTCACCATACTGTTTGTCTGTTGTTTGCAGCTTGGCTTGTGGAGATGTTGAAGGAAAGTTTGATGTTTTATTCAATAGAGTTCGAGCAATTCAGAAGAAAAGTGGAGACTTCGATGTAAGACATTCCTTTTTACTGAATTTAATTTTACGAGTGTAGTCAAACATAGTGAAATAAAGTTCAGGCTCCTTTGTTAAGCTCTTAATTGAACACAGACTCTCCATTTTTGTTAGATTGACTTTCTTTCATGTACATAAGAACTCAGTAGCTGTGAAGTGATGGGGAAGAGACGTGTTTATTGTACAGTACCCTTCTCTTTTTGCATTTGGATCTTATTACTTTATTACTGTATAAAAAAATGAAAAGAGGCTCACAAAACCTTCAGAAGTGATTCTGATCTTTGGGGTTTGGAAAGTACAGATCTACTTCATGAATATGGTGCAGATTAAATCAGATAATGTGTACAAATGCTTCACAAACTAAAGAGCTCTCAGTCAATGTTATATGTGGCTGCCGACCAGACTGTAAACATCTAGGATACAGAAGAGTATTCTAAGGAGTGGGGATAATTTTATTTCACAGAAGGGTTCTTTCAAGTCCTATTTCTCCATCACTGGATGTATATTTCAAAGAAGGAGAGCCATGAAGTGGAGGAGTGGGACTGGAATATTTGAGGAGGCCTTAAATTCTGATTTGCTTGGAAAATTCAGTTTCCTGATTCTCTATTCCCATTCCCCAACTTGAATTTGACACACAATGAGCCAAAATATAGTAATTCATAGAATTAGTAACAGCCAGGATTGCTGATAAATAATTGTTGAAATTCTGCAAACTGATGATGAATAAAAACTTGGTTTGGGACCATTAAGTAAGATAAATAGCTGGATGTTACTATTGATAAGAAGTGCTTTGATATTTAACAATCTCATATGTCTGTTTAAAAAACTCATTTTAGCTGCTGTTGTGTGTAGGAAATTTCTTTGGCTGCACTTCAGATACTGAATGGGAGGAGTATAAGACTGGCATCAAGAAAGGTACAGAAATTATTTTTTGCTTAACATATGATTTTGACAAAATTTCAAGTGCTCCAGTTCTTGCTGGGTGGTTTCCCCCTTTTACTTACTTAAAAATTTCCCTTCTGAGCTCTGCATTGAGCTAGAAAGGATATATATGCATAATCCCTATGTTTACATTTTGAATTCGGTTCATTTTAGTTCCAGGAAAATAATTCTCATTTGATTGGCAGGAACTGAATAAATGCAGTCAGATGTGTCCTTTCCTTTTTCCAGGGTTAGTATTTTTTCATTAAGCTATGTTGGCTCTGTACTTTCATTATACATTGACCATGCACCTTAAGATACCACTTGAAAAAAAAAATACTACTTCCTTGGTCTAGTGACATCATCTAATTGTCAGGCCATAAAGGTAGATATAGGATATTGTTAGTGGTAAGTATGTTCCACATTTAGGATTGCTGTAGGGGAATGCACAGACTATTTTTACTATGAGTACTTTTTAGAGGTTTTTTGGTTTTGTTTTGTTTTTTCCAGTACCGGGAATTGAACTCGACCTTCTGCTTGGCAGGCAGGCACTGTCCTGCTGAGATATATCCCCAGCCCACTATGAACACGTTTTATACAGGGAAGAATTTCTTATATTCCAAAGCAGATCTGACAACTGTATGGTGTCGTGTCTGTTTTCCTCACTAGCTCCTATTCAGACATATGTGCTTGGTGCCAATAATCAAGAAACAGTAAAATATTTCAAAGATGCTGATGGGTGTGAATTAGCTGAAAATATTACTTATCTGGGTAAGTTTTTATTTTTGTGTTTGTAATGAACGTAATGCTTATAGTTCTCAAGAATTAATCTCCCAGGAAATTTTTCTGAGATAGATTCTTCTGCCACAGAGAATGGGGTTGGGGAATTTATGCCCAACATCTGCCTATGCCTTTAGGACAGTGGTGTTTTTCCTTTATTGTCTCCCCCACTTCCACTCATTCTCCTTTTTATTCCTATAACCCGGTGTATACTTTCGGTCAACTGGAGGAATAAACTTCTAACCTCTAGTATATGGAGTGCTGAAGTATGAGTTATGTTCAATAAGGGAATTATATCTGTGTGACCATATCAGAAACTTTGCTGGATATTGACAGCCTACCTGTTAGGTTCCTAACTAGCTTAGCTCTAAGTTTCATGTCAAATTTTGGCAACTCAAGTTTTTAGGGCTGGTCCTTGGGCTGTCTTACTCCCTTTGTTCAATTTCAGATCTTTTCTTCAATTCCAGGTTACAGTTGTTACCTATACAACCCTGTGTATCACTTTTAGTGGTTCTTTCAATATCTGGTCATTTCAAATTTTCCTTTTTTCTTTCCCTGCTTTAATTTACTGCCTTTTGGATCATTCAACTCATTTTTTTCTAAACTGATTCCGTTGCTCTTTGTGTTTTCACTCCGTTGTTGTATTTCCTTTGCTTTAAATGCCTTCTTTCTCTCTCCCCACCACACTCCATTTTGGCCTGTAGTCTGTATCTTGCTGTGGTCATCAGGTGAGCAATCTCATCTTGCTCCATTCAAATGGGATTCAGCAAAAAAACTGAGGAAAGGATTTTAATATGTATTTCTTTTCCTTTTCTTTCTTCTTTTTTTACTTTGTATTTTGTTTTTTGTTTTGTGTATGTTGCTGGGGATCTAGTCCAGAGCTTCACATGTGCTCTTTCATGTGCTGCGTCCCTAGACTCTATGTTTATGTTTTTAACTACAATTATAAAATATATATTTTGAAATCTTTGTGTCGAGCCAGACATGGTGGGACATGCTGATATTCTCGGCTACTTGAGAAACTGTGACAGGAATATCACAAGGTTGAAGCCTGCCTGGTCAACTTAGTGAGGCTTTGTCTCAAAATAAAATAATTTTAAAAGGGCTTGGAATGTAGCTCAGTGCTGTGTTCCCTGGGTTCAATCTCCATTCCCCCCAAATAAATAAGTAGATAAAAATCATTTGTTGTAGATGTTAGCATGGGCATGACTTACAGCAATTATCAGTGTAGTTTTTAGATTTGGTTATTTGCTATTTGGCAGCCATTTTGCCAGACTAATAATGCCTGGGTACCTCTGTGAATTAAATGTTTTTGAGATCCAGTAGGAGCAAGCAGTAATTTTCTTTGATGTTGGGGATCAAATGCAGGACATTGCCCATGTTAGGGTAGCATTGTATCACTGAGCCATATTCCCAGCTTGCAGGCAGTGGTCTTGATAGTGAACCTATGATAGTGAGCTTGAAGTGCTGACAGAACACCTAACATAGAGTTAGAAGTGATGGTTCTTTCCAGAGTATATAAACTGATTAAAAATACAGAATACAGACTACTCTTCAGAAATTGGAAACCATAAAAAAGGAAATTTCTTTGTGTTCATTTAACACATACTAAATGAGTTAGAATCGAACATATTCAATTCTTTTTTAAACAGCAAGAGCCTGTTGAGAAGACTCAGTAAGTGAAAGGAAGGAAAAAAACTGATAGAGCAAGGTCTAGGAGGCAACATGAAGGAGTGGAACCAAGGCCGCAAGCTGGGAACCTGACTTTAGAAGAAGTAGTGTCTCTAATTTTTCCCAAACAGTTGTTGTTTCAAGCGTTTTCCTTTGTGTGGAAGTTGTAGCCTTCCTGAAGAGTACATATTTAAAAAAAAAAAAAGAGTATATGTTTTGTAGAGTAAAGGATCCTCAGAACTGCAGTTATTTTTTGTTCTTATTGCCTCTTCCTGTTCCAGGTGTCTAGATTCCTTTTAGAGTGTATAGAGTCTTCTCTAAAAGGCAAAAAGCCTTTTTCTTCTGAATCACTGCTTCTCAGCTTCCATCAGTTATATAAGGTACCTAGTGTAAACAGACTGACCTGTGGGTACCACCAGCCTCCACATAATGGCTTCTCAGGCTTACTGAACAGGAATACTGTTGGAGCCAGGCAACGTTGATACCTAGCAAGCAGTAGAAGAGGCTACAGAAAAGTTGACACTTCTTCAGGCACGTAGATTGGCAGGGACATGGGAGAGTCCTGAGCATGGGGATTCATTGCCATGTTGGTGATGTTTTGCAGTTTTGACTAAAACTTGCCTGTTTTTCTTTGAACCCAGGTCGTAAAGGTACCTTCACTGGAAGCTCCGGCCTGCAAATTGTGTACCTCAGTGGGACAGAGTCCTTAAATGAGCCAGCCCCAGAATACAGTTTCAGTCCCCAGGATGTGTCTTCCCTGAAAACAATGCTATGTTCAACATACCAGTTTAAGGGTGTTGATATCTTGCTCACATCCCCATGGCCCAAGTATGTGGGGAGCTTTGGGAATTCTTCTGTGAGTAGTGCTTGTTCACTTGGAATTTCTAAAAGCAAATTGCATTGGTTTAAGATGGGCTTTTTAATTTTTAAAATGTTTTCTTTTTATAATGAGTATTTTACCTCTTGATGCTTTCCAGTAGAAATCTTTTGTGAATTCTCTGAGGAATCTGAAAACTGACCAAAGCAAGAATTCATCTCATAAAAGTATGGTTCACAGATGAGAATGCTGAACTCTTAATTATAAATGAATTCGCCTTTAAATTATATTCTCTGCTTGAGGGGAAGTACCTCCCCTCAAGCCTCCTCTTAATATATTTTTGAGGGCTCACTAATTTGCAGTGAAAAGATCTATAGGTATTGGCAGCTCTGCAGTTGCATTTCCCCCTTCCATTCTGGATTATTACTATCAAAATATTTTTAAAAATTGAATCATTGTGGTATTGGGTTTAGTAATCTAAAGATGGGAAACAAGGTATTCAAAACTTTCATGTTTCTCTGTTGGGAATACTTCAATTTTAACATCCACTGGAGTTAATCATTGTGTTTGGTTTTAATGTTCTTATAACTAATCTTTTGTTTGTTTGTGACAGGGTTTTGCTGTGTAGTCCAGGCTGGCCTTGAACTCATTATGTAGTCCAGGCTATCCTCAAACTCATGGCAATCCTACCTCAGCCTCCTAAGTGCTAGGATTGCAGATGTGCACCACTACACCCAGCCAGTAATCTTGAGAGAGATGTACACCAGGAGTGATAGCTATCATGAGGACTGAAATACTGCATTGGTGGACATGAGCCTAAGGAAGATCTTGAATAGGATCTGTCTGGGCCAAGGGTATAGCTCAATAGAAGAGTACTTGCCTAGCGTGTATGGGGTCCTGAGTTTGATCTCCAGCATTTGAAAAGAGAAGATTTTGTGGTTGGAGGGCAGAAGGCATCAGTTGAGCCTTACTGGAGGGAAATACAAGAATACGTTTGGGGCTGTGCATGGTTGTGCACACCTGTAATCCTAGCACTTGGGAGGCTAGGGTAGAAGGATTGCTATGAGTTCGAGGCCAGCTTGGGCTGCATAGTGAGTTCAAGGTCAGCTTGAACTACCTAGCAAATTCCTGTCTTGAAAACAAAATAAGAAAGCATCTGGGGACAGTACCCCATTTATAGGTTTAGAATTACCAATAATGATCCAGAAGAGGGCCCTGTAGACCATTCCCTGCCAACTTCAGCACTCCATGGCTATGACCAGAAAGACCAACAAGACACCAATATTGTCAGGAAGGAGATTAAAAGGAAAAGATAAAAACCTCTCTTCTACTAACCTTTGGCTACTTTTTACCTAGGACATGAGGGGCAGTGCTGGTTGCGGCACAGATACTGTAAGTCTGGGGAAGAGCCAGAGGAGCTGCTGATAAAGTGACAGTGGAAGGGAGAAAGCACAGATGATGCTCTCTAAGGAAGAATAAGAAATCAAAGCCCTTTCATTTCAGGGGGAGCTAAAACAGGATCTTAATCAAAATTTATAAGGAATCGTAGGAGATACTTATGGGGCCAAAATAATATAGTATACCAGCTTATAACATACTATAGCCAACTTCAAAGCCATTTCCCTACCCCCCAGAAGAAGCCTGAAGGGGCCAAAGAAAAAGGGAAGTCCCATTTACTTAGTGTAAAACAAGCACTTATTTCCATTTAATACCTTCTTTTAGAATAATGTTATTTATTCTAAATGATGAAAGACGAAATAATTGATTGTTACCAGAAGCTAGGGATATTCTTGGAATAGGCCTAACTTTGCACAAACTTTGTTAACTTGCAAGCATTTCTAACAAGGATGTGGTTTCACAAATCACCACTTTGACAGAATAAAAGATTGTATGCTTACATGACAAGGTCCTTGAACTTCCTATGCATACTAAGAGCTCTGAAGGCTAGCTTTTAATTCTATGTTCTGGGCTATGACTGACTATATTGTCAATCATACAGGTGCATGACAAAGTACAATATATAGGAGCCACAGTTTGTGGGCTCCAGAGACTATTTACCAAAAAAGGTTTTAATAAACTGTTCAGAATGTTGATATAGAGGAGTTAACCTTATCTGGCTTCCAATAATAGGTCCTGTTTCTAGATAAGTAGTAGTGCAATACTCTTAAGAGTGATTTTTCCTGACTGCCATGTGAAGTTTACTGTGCAGCTCTTACTACCTACGTTTGTATCCATGTGCAAATCTTAAAGACATTTCAGAGTATCTTATTTTGCTGTACTTTTTGATAATTTCCAATTCTATGTGAATGACCAGGTTTTTATTTGCTAGGGAGAAGTGGATACTAAAAAATGTGGTTCTGCTTTGGTCTCCAGTCTTGCCACAGGCTTGAAACCAAGATATCATTTTTCTGCTTTGGAAAAGTCATATTATGAGAGGCTTCCATATCGGTGAGTAGTGTTTATTTCTTGGCTTTTTGAAGAATTTCCCTGGATCTTCTGTAAAAATTTATCTTTCTCATTTTTGGCCATATAACATTTTGATTCTTTTTGGTTACTCAGGCACAGAAATGAATAGCTCTCAAGTCATCTTTTCTGAGTTTGTCCCCTAACTTGAAATAAAAGGGATTGGACTGTAAGCACTTACAAAGCACTGAGGGTTGAAGTAATAATACCATGTAGTCATTATAACTTTTTGTACTGTATTAGGTCCTGTCTTCATCAGGTCAAACTGAGTTCTATATAGTCTTGAAAATTCAGCTCTTAGTATAATAACTTTGGAAATACTCACTTTGTGAATCAAGAACTTTTACACTTGTATCATTTCTTTTTTACTAGTTGAATTTAATATTTTTCTTAAATTACAAATACCAATGTAGTATACTTTTTTTTGAGGAAGGGGGCAGTGCTAGAAATGAAATCCAGGGCTTTGTACACGCCAGGCAGGTGCTCTACCGTGGAGCTACACCCTACCCAGCTCTACAATATTTTAAAAGAAAAGCTCAAAAAGTATTTTGGTATATAGTATCCATTATTTTTTCTGTGACATATAGACACTCAAGTATTTTTATATTTTTTCCTAGAAAGAGGAAATCATACTATATATGTATTAGTATGTGAGGCATGTTTTCTTCACTTAGAACACATTTTTTGGCTTTTTGTATGTTTTTGTTATTGATGGTACTGGAGGTTGAACCTATGGCCTTTGCACTAAACTGCATCCCCAGGTCTTTTATTTTTTATTTTGTGACATTATCTTGCTAAGTTGCTAAATTGCCCAGTCTGGCCTCAAACCTCTGATACTGCTGCCTCAGCCTCCCAGAGTTCCAGGTTTATAGGTATGTGTTACTACACGAGGCTTATTTTAGCTCTTTATTACACAAAGGAGAAAAATATCAAAATGAACTTTCCTGTCTTCATTACCTAGCTTCAGTAATTTGGAAAGGTAGCTTCTCTGAGATTGTATGACTTTGAGAGTGGACTTAAAACTTGTGTTCTTTCTATGGCTCGGTGGACTCTACCTATTTCACTATTGCAAATGAAAAATAAAGTACTGGTAAAATCTGATAATCTCTCAAATGTGTTCCAGAAACCACATTGTTCTACAAGAAAATGCACAGCATGTCACCCGTTTTATAGCTCTGGCAAATGTTGGAAATCCAGAAAAGAAAAAGGTAAAGAATTGAATATATAAGGGGCTGGGGATTTAGCTCAACGGCAAAGAGCCTGCCTGGCAAGCGCAAGTTTGTAAGTTCGAGTCCTGGTACTGGAAGAAAAACAAACAAACAAACAAACAAACATGTGGTGGTAGGTTAATATTCTTTTTTTTTTTTTTTTGGTATTTCTTTAGCTCAGTTTAGCATTCAGATCTTTTCTTTACCCCGGGTGCAAAGTCCCAGAAGCTTCAGTGACTCCTTTGTAAAATTAAAGTTATCAAAGGTCATATTTCCCTGGGTACTTTGTAGGAGATCTTCAGTAAGGTTTGGGAAAATAGGTTCGGTGGAATAAAGGCAAAGTACTAAATGAGTGATGTTCTTTTCCTTCTACATCCATATGGTTGTCTCTATAGCTATTTGTATGTTTGCTTTCAGGTGGTACTCTTGCTTGCTTCTTTTGGCAGTTGCACTTAGCTAAAATAATGGGATTGACCTAGGCCACCTTAAGCTTCAGGAAATATTAGTGCTTCCTACAATCTGTCCTTACATTGGAAAATAGTAGAGAAAGATTATACCAGAAAAGTAGGTGTTTTTCTCATTTCCTTGAGAGCTTTTTGTTATTGTTGTTTGTGTGGACTGGGGATTGAACCCCCAGTACCACACAATGGGCTACCTCCCCAGCTGTATATTTTTATTTTTATTTTTGTTTTTATTTTTGAGGCAGGGTTTCACTAACTTGCCTAGGCTGGACTTGTACTTGTAATCATCCTGCCTCAGCCTCTTAGAGTTTGAGGATTACAGGCATGGGTCCCCATGGTATGGCTTAATTTTCTGACTTCCTAGCGTGTAAAACAGCACTTCTGGATAGAGACATAAAATCCAGATAATGTTCAAGTAGGAACATAGCCAGAGCAGTCCACCTAAATAATTGGAAGACTATTCCACTGTAATGTGCCATAGACTATATGCATACAAAACAGGTACATATTTCAGTTTTTCTGCATTTTAAACTTTTAAGCCAATTTCTTAACAAGTTTAAGTTTGTAATTTTTTTAAAAATACCCTGTCAAATGAATAACACAGGACTGGGGATATAATTCAATGGTAGGACAGTTGCTTAAGTCCTGGGTTTGATTCCCCAGTGCTTGTTCTCTCTCTGTCTCTCTCTTTCTCTCTCTCTCTGTCTCTCTCTTTCTCTCCCTCTCTCTCCCTCTCTCTCTCTGTCTCTGTCTCTCTCTCTCTCTCACACACACACACACACACACACACACACACACAGAGCAAACTGAAAATTACAGTATTTTCAGACTATAGGTTCATTTTCAGACACTTTAAGCAGTTCATACTTCAAAGGTTCTGCATATTTTTTAATTTGACAAGCATATTCATCTCAAAAATGTGTTTCATCTGTACTTTTATGAGCAGTATAAGGTTTGTTTGCTATTTCTTTCTCCACACTCTTATTGGATAATGGCAAGTTTTATTGAAGTTTCTACCAGATAGATGGTGTGATAGATGGAAGATAATGTATCATTATTTCTTACTTGCACTTCCCTGATTGTAGTGAGGTTAAACATCTATTCATATCTTTTATTTTTTCTAATAATACTACTAACCAGGCCTCAATGTTTGTCACTGAGCCCCAGCCCTTTTTTATTTTAAGACAGGGTCTTGCTTAGTTGCTCAGGCTAGTCTCAAACTTGTGATTCTCTTACCTCAACCTCCCATTTAGGTGGAATTACAGGCATACACCACCACATTTATCTTTATTCGTATTTTATCTAAAGTTTTCAATCTCTGATATTAGTCCAAGATTCCAGATACTTATATGCGTATTTACCTTTTGGCTTGAGAAAATTTTGTCAGCGTATATAGCAGAATTCATGTAATACCAGAGAGGGAAACCCTAAGTTATCCAATGGTAATTGTCATTACGAAAAAAAAGAATGGTAGTATCATAATTCTGTTGACAATGTTCACAGAGGACTCAGGCAGAAGCAGTTTATCTTCAGGTGTTAAAGACAAAGTCTCTTTGGGCTTTGTAGTAACACTATTCCCTTATGCAACTGAGGAAACCTGATTTGTGTAAGGGCTGGAGCTTTGATTTGTTCCTCATTACTTGGTAAGCCCCTGCAGAAACTACAGAATTGGCATTTGACTTACTGCTGTGTATTCTCCAAGTCACAAACCAGCTTTTAATTTTACTGAATTTCAGATGTTTTTGGTGAAATTGTCACAGTAAAATTAGTTTGTTACATGTTGATAAATAATATTTTCCCTAATGTTATGTTCTTTTTCTTTAAAGTATCTTTATGCATTCAGTATTGTTCCCATGAAACTAATGGATGCAGCAGAATTAGTAAAACAGCCTCCAGATGTCACTGAAAACCCTTATAGGAAATCTGCATCCACAGGAAAGCAAATTCCTGCCCCTGAGGTACGTTTTGATTGAGGGGTGGAATTTGGGGGGCAGGGTTGCCCTTGCAAGTGTACTTTTCACGGTAATACTTTAGTACATAAAATACATTTAATGCTTAGAATCAAAATCTTGTTTTTCCTTGAGAAGTCATGGTAGTATTTAGAAAGTCTTAGTAGATTGCAACTAAGCTCAGTGTTTTTTTGTTGTAATTTGGGATTAATTGTTTCATATTAAGTCTTTCTTTGGTTAACCTTATTTCATATGTTGGGGTTATAGTTTCATATTAAGTTTTTCCTTGTCTAAATTGATTATCCTTGACTCTTCAGGTAAAGATACAGCTTAGTAGTGATATAATGTATGATGTATAATAAAATTAATTTTTCTCCCACCAAAGCAAAGAATGTCAAGTTCCCTTACTAGGATACATGATCTGCCTTCTCAGACTACTTGTCTTCTCAAAAAGATTTTTGGTCTTCCCATTTTACTTTTGCTCCTAATGATTCTTTCTTCTTGTCCCTTTAATTAAAGTTGAATTAGACTTGTTTAACCTGTGAAACTGTAGGATTACCTCTTGTCCCTGTTGAGAAAGGAAAAGGAAATTTGTTAGGTTCATACTGATTTTAGGCAAGAATTACTTTAAACCTTGCATTTTAACTTGTTCTTCCAAAGTGATGAATTTGGTGGTAGCTTGGATAAGTGTGTTGAGATACACGACTGACAGTCTAGGTGTATTTTTCTTGCATGCAGTAGGCAGGAAAGGCTAAAGAGAAACAGGAATGACATGGCAGGGATGTTCCCTTGTATGTAAATGGTTGGCTGCTTATCTAAAGATTAGCTGAATAATATACTCTGCTCCCTTTTGCCATTTCAGGAACAATCAACTTGTCAATTCTTCTTTGATTTAAATGAAAAGGAGGGCAGAAAACGTTCATCCGCGGGCAGAGATAGCAAGGCCTCTCCTCACCCAAAGCAGCCTCGAAAACCTCGTAAGTATCTTGGTTCCAGTGGTCTTGTATATGAGCAATAACTGTTATTGTAGTTTTGTTTAGCAAATAGCATTGCTCATCCTCTGGCAGAGGAAAATTGTACAGAATCATTAGAGACAAAAATAATATAAACATGGCCTGACTTTGAGACTATCTGAGGTTTTTTTCTCTAAAAACTCTAAAAAAAGCTTCTTTCCTTTGTGTTTGTAAAACATGATGAAGTAAAGAACATAGAAAACTGATGTAGAGTCATAAAATAATAAAATAATCAAACTGAAAGAAAGGATTTTTATTTCTATCTCCACCCTCTTATTTCAAAGATGAAGAATCTGACCTTAGGAGGGTAAACTGTTACCCAGGGTTGTGTGGCTAGTTAATGGGATAGCTGGGACTAGAATTGGAGTGCAGCAAAAGTTCAGTGTTCTTTCATTGCAGCCTATTGCAAGTTACATACAGTTTGGTATCATCACCAGATAGGGTCCAAGGATGTTCCCAAAGCAGAATCTCAGGGAACCTTGACTCATCTCACCCATAGGATGGGATGCAGATTCTTACTTCCATCCCAGAAAAAGAATCTTCAGGATGCATTAATAAGAGACATATAGGGATGTTCTAGGCAGAATTTTAGAAGTCCCCACTCAGAGAAATAGAATGTGGACCCTCAAGAGGGATAAAAGCGCCTTGTGGCTTTGAGCTGAGGGTATTTATTGGAATTTGGGTGTGTCTCTGTGATAGATGATCTAGGACAATGACGGTGAACCTTTTAGAGCTTTTAATGATAAACAGCTGACTGCAGCACAGGAGACACAGGTTCACCACTACTGATTTCGGATATGTATTTCAGTTTTTGTCAGGTTTTACCCATTTGGTGAGCTATGTTAAAATGCAAACCATTTATAGTATATGTGTTTGAAGTTGAAATAAGCTGTCCTCTCAATAGTACACTTCCTGAGGATAAGGTTTGGTAGGAGGGCATTATCCTTCAGGCCCTTAGTAATTTTTCAGGGAAGGGGAAAAAAGCTTGAATAACTTTGTCTTAAAAGTACAGGATTTTTTTAAAGCACAATTTGAATATAATTTTCCTTGTCTCCTTTCTATCTTTATGTTTTCTGTTCTACCTCAAGATAATCTACTTGTGGGTCACTACCTGGAATTCGTTACAACTTTAGAACTTTTCCAATAGAGATTTTTTGCATTGAAAATGGTGTGTGGAGGTGCTGAGGAGCACAAGTCCAGCTTCTTATGGCTACGCTGTATACAATCTTTGCAGTATACAAAGATCAGACAAGGCTGAGTTTTATAGGGTGATTGTATGTTACAGTGATCAGACCCTACTAACACTTGGCTTTCTTCCGCATGAAGCTCAGCCTCCAGGACCTTGCTGGTTTTGCCTTGCCAGCCCTGAAGTGGAAAAGCATTTGGTGGTCAACATTGGCACACATGTAAGTTATTCCAAGGATCTTTTACAGAGAAGGAGCTTTCTTTTGTTATTTTTGCCAGCATCAGATTTATTTGTTTTATAAGACTTTATCAAGTTAATTGACATACAGAGATTAACAGCCAGACTGACAGGTGCAAAAACATATAAAACACATGAAACAATTATACTAAATCAAGGTACACTTTTAGATACATTGGCCATGGTGGATTATAATAGCTTTTCTCTTTTGCCCTATTACCTGTCCTTTATTTTGTACTTTAACTTTATACATTGGATTTCTCATATGAAAGAAACCATGCAATATTTAAGCTTGTGTGTCTGATTCACTGCACTTAAAGTGTGCTCAAGGTGTACCAATTTTCCTACAAATGACTGAAGTTTATCTTTCTTCATGGCTGAGTAGTATTCACTGGGGATAAATACATTTTCTTTACCTGTTGATCTGTTGATGGACATGTAGGCTGCTTCTAGCTATTATGAGTTGTATATTATAAATGGGTATGCATGTTTCACTTTAACAAGCTCTCTTTAACTCTTGGGAAGATATCTAGAAGGAGAATAGCTGGATTAAATGTAATTTCTATTTCTAGTTTTTTGAGGAATCTCCATATTGATTTCGATAGTGGTTGTACCAGTTCACACTCCCACCAACGAGGAAGGGTTGCTTTTTCCCATGCAGTCTCTCCTGTATTTGTAATTGTTTGATTGCTTAAAGATAGTCATTTTTTCTGAAGTGAGATAGACTCTCAGTGTTTCAGTGTTGTTTTAATTTGCATTTCTCTAATGGCCAGCAATGTTAAACAGTCTTTTGTATATTTATTGGCCATTTGTACTTCTTCATCTGAGAAGTGTCATTCATTTCAGATGCCCATGTTTTGATTGGGCCTTTGAATTGAGGAGGGGTCTAGATTTTTTATTCTTTATATATTCCAGATATTAGTCCTTTGTCTGAGGAGTAGCTGGCAAAAGTTTTTTCCCATGTTGTAGGTTGTCTCTTTGTTCTGTTAGGAAGAAAGAATCAACTCTTCAATTCATTGATTCTTTTTTTTCTTTTTAAGTCTCAGTTTCATTAATTTTTGTTCAGATTTTTATAATTTTCTTCCTAACTTTGCATTTGGATTGCTCTTATTTTTCTAGGACATTGATATGTATCATTAGGTTATTTGAGCTCACTTTGTTTTTCTGATGTGGGGATTATCTGGCTATATACTTCTCTGTCAGGGATGGCTTTTGTTGTGTCCCATAGGTTCCGGAATGTGGTAATGGCATTATTGTTTGTTTGCAGTAATTGTCTAATTTCTTCTTTAATTTCATCTGTGACCATTGATTATTCAAGAGGATATTGCTTAATTTCTGTGTTTGCATAGTTTCTTCTCTAGTTTCATTGCACTGTGATAATATGTGTGGGATAATTTCCATTCTTTTACATTTATAAAGCTTGCTATATGGGATAGTAGCTAGTATGTGGTCTATTTTGGAGAAAGTCCCATGTGCTACTGAGAAGCATGTGTATTCTGCCATTTTGTAGGTATCTATTAAGTACATCTGTTTAAAGGTTTAGTTCAACTCTGATAATTCTTTTTTGATTTTTTGTCTAGTTGATTCATGGATTTGTGACAGCATGGTGTTGAGATCCTCCATCACAATTGTATTGGTGTTTATTTGATTTTTCATGTCCATTGGTGTTTGTTTTATGAAATTGGGCATGCCTGTACGTGGAGTGTATATGTTTTAAATTGTTATCTCTTAACCAATATGTAGTGACCTTCTTTGCCTATTCTAATTAGTTTTGACTTGAAATCAATTTCCTCTGAAAGTAGGATATGTATTTCTGTTTATTTCTGGGCTGCTGTTGCGTGTAATATCTTTTCCATTTTTTGATTTTTAATCTTTGAATTTCTTTTTGAATTTGTTCCTTGCATACTGTATATTGTTGGGTGTTGTTTCTTGATCCATTCTGCCAATCTGTGTCTTTTGCTTGGGGAATTGGGACCATTCACATTGAGAGTTATTACTCTGAGACAGAGATGGTGAACCTTTTAGAGTGTTCAGTGATATAGCCTGCTGCAGCGCATCTACCATAGGTTTGCCACCAGTGCACTAAGATATTGACCTGTTTCTTTCATTGTATTATTTTCCTTTAGCTTATTGTTTGTTTCCTTACTGGTTTTTTTTCTTTTATTTTTTTTCCTTTTCATTTAGCTGCTCATTCTGCCAGGTGTATTCATCGTTTTTGACTTACTGGCTTTCTAGATTTCATTGTCTCTTTTTAGAATATCCTTGAGAATGTTTTATAATGCTAGTTTGGTGGTTATGAATTTCTTGAGGTGCTCCTTGTCATGGAAGTACCTTATTTCTCCATCAGCTTTGCAGGAAAGTTTTTCAGGATATATAAGTCAGGGTTAGAAGTTGTTAACTTTTAGGGCTTAAAACACTTCCCTCCTAGCACTCCTGGCCTTTAAGTTGTATTAAGAAGTCTGCTCTAATTCTAATGGGTTTACCTTTATGTGTGATTCTCCGCCTTTCTGTGACAACTTTTAAGATTATGTCCCTGTGCTAGACTTCTGGTACTTTGAGTATAATGTAGAGCAGAAAGGTTCTCTTGGTTGCAGCTACTTGAGGTTTTATATGCCTCACTTATATGTATATTTATTTATTTGCTTACGTTTTGCACATTTTCTGCCATTATTTCTGTAAACAGAGGTTTTTTATGCCATTTGTATTGGTTTGTGATTTTTCACTTATTCCAGTTATTCTTAGATTAGACTTCATTGTGCCATCTAGGAGCTGTTTGATCTATTTTTCATGTTGTCTTGTTGTTTTTAAGGTGTCTGAGTAGTTGGTCTTTGTAGACATCATTGTTTTCTAGTTCTGAAATTTTGTCCTCACATTGGTTGCTTCTGCTGCCCCTACTTCAAATACAACTTTTAACCTCCTAGATTTCTAATTGAAACCTTTTTTATGGACTTGAATTATTTGCTAAACTGATTGTTCATGTTTTGTATAGTTTTGTTTAGCTTAGCTAGCTTTTTATTAGTGTCTTCTGAAATCTACTGGATCATGTTGTTTATTACTTCTATTATCTGTTTAGTTTTATCTTCTATGATCCCAATGAAGACCTCTTTGATCTATTTTGTAACCTTGTCTGTTATACTTTCAAGTAATTTGGGGTGTGTGGCTGAGCTATTTTCCCCTATAGTGCCCAGTATATTGGCGTGGGAGCAGTTGGGAACTTTAGGAGACATTTTGTTGCCTTGTTTTATGTTTGTGTTGTTTTTGTTTGTTTGTTAGTTTTTTGCTGAGGTTTGTGGATGCTTATAGTATAAAGACTTTGTTGTAAGTATAGAGTTCTCTCAGTGGCTTTTCAGTGATGTATTTTACGCATGGCTAACTATTGTCATTTGCCCCAGCTCCAGGATCTGACCACGTTGGTTAATTTGGGAGGGGTGGATACAGTGTAACTGGACAAAACTAAGTCCTCTGACAATGTACTCTAGTATTGTCAATGTCACAAAGGTATCTGAGTCACAAAGTAACTGCCTTATAGAAAAAAATCCATTAATAGCAATAATTATATGACCCTGGTAACAACCAGATCAACTACAGTAATATCTTCCAAGGCAAATTGGATATTAACATACCATAAGAACCAATTATGTACCACCCTTCATGCTAGAGAAGAAATTTAATAATGGTATAAAAATTGAAGACAACCCAAGTATTGACTTACAGCTAATATGTACTGTATGAAATAGCTCTATCTCTGCTAGTGGTAGAAAAGAATTCAAGAGTAATTTTATAGGGTCAACCATGTAAAGTTTAATAAAGCTGTATGGTTATACTATTAAAGATTTAGAAGGTTGGAAATGGGGGAATGCAAGAGGAAAAATTTGAAACTTTAAACTATCTGATACAAAAAAGAGGAAAGAGAAGTAGTACAAAGGATCCCATTGGGGAGTAGTACAGTGTTTGTAGAATTAGGTAAATGAAGAGAAAAAACTGACAGAAGATAAGAGAAAAAGAAATTATAAGGAGAATAGAAGTAAGAAGGAACAAATCAAGGGGAAAAAAGGGAGAGGAAGAAAATAACTTAAGAGAAAGAGTAAGAAAAAAGATAAGAGGTAAGGAAAAAGGACAAAGGAAAATCTCCCAAATCCTAATAATTGGTAAAGAGGAAAGTAAAAAAGAGCAAAGGAAAACAAAAACAGAACACACACAGAGGAAGAAAGAGAGGGAGAAGAAATTTCTCTGATTTTGAGTATGTAGTTTTCTCTGAGGATCCACAATTTTAGGGCAGTATCCAAGTCAAGACGTGTCCCTGCTCACACTGGTAGATAAAGAAGACAGTTCTCAGATCTGTGCTGAATGCAGGCACCAGCAGGCAATAGGATTAGGGCAAGGGCACCAATACTGTGACTTTCAAATCCAAAGTAACTCAGGTTGAGCCTGCCCTCTGGCTGTGGGATAGAGCTTGTGTCCTTTAGCTTTGTCCCCTCAGGCAGTCTCTTTCCTGCTTGCTCCCTGACTTCAGTTGTTTACGTGGCCATGGCTCACCCAGTCACTAGGGGAACATGACACTGGAAGCCCTGAAGTGAAGCAGTCCAATGGCTGCTTTGAGTTCTGAGTTCAAGTAGTTAACCCTTTCCCAGAATGGTGTCCAGCAAAACACTCTTCCCCAGAGATACATAGGGCACTTAGACTACAGCAGTGGTGGTGAACCTATGGCACATGTGCAGGCTCTGTAGGCATGCAGAGCCCTCTCTGTTGGCACATGAGCCAAGTTGCCCCAGTGGCCAAGAATCAGATAATAATTGTTTTTTATAAACTAAAACCACAATATTCAGATTTAAGTGCAGTGTTGGTACTTTGCAATAAATAAGTGGGTTTGATTGCAGTTTGGGCATTCAGTCTCTGAAAGGTACACCATCACTGGACTAGAGTCACTCATCAGCTGTTTCCTGTTGAAGGACTCATGTGGAAGCAGAATTCCACACTCTCCCTGCAGATTACAGCACCCACCAGGCCATTCTACCACAATGTTTCTTTCTGAAGTCTTCTGGAGTCCCCACCTTTCATTTCATCTCTGTAGGGAAGGTCTCCCTTTCTTACAAGCCATGAGCTGTGAGTTAAGGAGAAAGTGTGTACTGTCCTTACCATGCTCCGTGTTGTGTTTTGTCTCTTGAATTTCTTTGTAGGTTTTAATTTTTCTGTTAGATCCTTCTGGTACCAAGGAACCTACTTCTTCCCACCCGGCAAGTTGTTATTTTCCAATGTCTGAATTCTGAATCTCAGAGAATCTGAGTTGTTATCACTTGTCACTGTACCATTCTGCTGGAAGTACCTGTGTCTAGCACCTTCAGCTTCATGTTCTTGAGATTTATCTGTTATAGCATGCGCTAGTATTTCATTATTTTTTATTGCCAAAAGTATTCTTTGTGTGGATATAACACATTTTGTCTGTGCACTTATCATTTGATGGACATCTGGGTTGTTTCTATTTCATGACTGTTAGGAATAATGCTCCCATGTAAGATTGCATACAAGTTTTTGTTTGTTTGTTTGTTTGGTTGGTTGGTTGGTTTTTTTTGTCTTTTTGAGACAGGGTCTCACTATGCAGTTCAGTCTCACTATGCAGACTATGCAGCTGGTCTTGAACTCACTTTGTAGCCCAGACTTGCAATGATCCTCCTGCCTCAGCCTCCCGAGTGCTGGGATTACAGGCGTGTGCCACCACATCCAGCTTTGCATACAAGTATTTGTACAGACATATGTTTTCATTTCTTTTGGAAAGATACCAAGGAATATAATATGATAACTTACTTTCTTAACTTTTTAGGAAACTAGCAAACTTTTTCAAAAATGATGACATTGTTTTATGTTCCTATCAGTAATGTATAAGGATTTCTACATCCCTGCCAACATTTATTACTGTTTTTTTGTTTGTTTTGTTTTGTTGATACATCCTAGGGCCTTGCAGATGCTGGGCAAGGGCAGTACCACTAAACTAGCCCATTGTTAGGTGATTGTGGCATTTCTTCTGTGGTGTTTTGTAGAATCAGTTTCACAAGATCACTCACACCTTTCCTTCCTCCTTCTGTCACAAATAGGTGTGCATATCCTAGGGTGAAGCTTTTATATACTCCTCAAATTCTTTGTATTTTTAATACATACTACTTGGGTCTATTACTTGGCTTGTGTTAATTGCTTACTATTTAAAATGCAAATTTTCTTAATCCTGAGAAGGGAGTCTTCTGTTGCTTATACTCATATTGGGCTAATAGTGTTAATACTCAGTCAGTCATGCTGGTGCACATCTGAAATCCCAGCTCTCTGGAAGGCTGAGGCAGGAGGATGAGGACAATCCAAGCAATTGAGTGAAATCTCATCTTTAAAAAAAAGTTGCTATTTTCTTTATAGCTTCAGATTTAGGTTTTTATTTTGTTTTTTGTTGTTGTTGTTTTAATTTTTATATATGACCTTGTTAAGTTGGCCTGGCTGGGCTCACACTTGCTGTCCTTCTGCCTCAGCCTACCAGAGTGCTAAGATTACCAGCATGCATCGTTGTACCCCGCTCAGGTGCAGAAATTTGAACTTAATAATTTTTTTAAATTTAAAATTATGTAACATTGGAAACTGAATCATACAATCATAGAAAAGACTAGAATGAGAACTTTCTGTTGGGTAATAGTAGAAGATGTAGCTTCCTAATGACAGGAAGACTTACATCCCCATGCCTGATGGAAGTGTCTGGAAACCCCAAGGTAATAATCATAAAGTTGCTTGGTTAGAAAGCACTGAATGAGACTCAAGAACTAGGAGATCTGGAGTATGATTTTATGCAGGTTGAGAAAGCCCTGGTGAACTGCATGTGTCTTACAGGAAAGTCATTCTATTTCACATAGAATAGTACCTCTAGATACTGGTCACTGGGCGGGGCTGAGTTAGACATTAAATAATTATATTCTTTGACCCACGTTTCTCCAGCCTCTAAATAGACTATTTTCTTTTCTTTCAGTTAGAATTAAGAAAAGTTAATATGCAGGGTTATAAATATATTGTAGTCACCCATGACTAGAACCAGATGTTTGTATCACTTCTTGGCCTTTTGGCTAAGATCAAGTGTAGAAAAATGTTCACCAAGATTCCTGAGGGGAATATTTACAAATGATTTCTTAGGGTATAATGCCTCTGCATACTGCTTTCATCTAGTTTTCAGTAATTTATTGTGAATTTGGTTTCTAAGGATGACTTTTCTTCAATTTATCTGAACAGTCTAAAGGTCTTCTTTTGTGGCCTCTTATACATTGACTAGAGTATCAGTTTTATTTTTTACTTTGTTTCAAACTGAAGAGTTCCAGTCTTTCACATTTGTTTCTCATGTCTCCTGTTGGCAGACTTACATCTCTGGGAGGTACCCTTGGGATCAAGAGTGGTGATTACTTTTACTTTTTTATTTTTTTGGCAGTACTGGGGATCAAACCCAGGACCTTAACACCTAGGTACAGCCCAGTCATTTTCTATTTTTTATACAGGGTCTGGTTACGTTTCCCAGTACCACAAAAAGGAAAAAAAAGTCATTGTGAAGCTAAAGTTTTAGTACCTCTGAGGTTGTGATGAACTTGTCACTTAGTAAATTAACTTTATAGATTTGCTTAGTCCTTGCTGCCAAATAAATCAAGGATGATCACGCTTTAGTTTGGTTTTTAGTACATATCCTGTCATTCTGTTGGACTTTACTGTAGATGAGAAATAAATGATGGCATCCTTCAGCCTTGACTTTTAGTCCACCATATTAAAAGAATACTTCGCAGTGGAATTTTTTTCTAAAGTATCTATGTTTGCTTATATTGATACTCATTTGTTCCTTTGCTGCTCACTCACAGTGTCTTCCCTTCAAAGAGTGTATGACTGGTAGAATAATCCTGCATATTTTATTTTTGACAGAAATATATTTAGTTGCTATGAAAGACTAATATTTATTGTTGGGAACTTTAATTCTCTACCTTTTTGGATAAATTGGAGTTTAAGGTTTTTCTTTCTTCCTTCCACTCCATTAGGCTGTATGTTTCTTCTTATTTTATGGAGTTTAGTTAGCGGTTTAAGGCTATAGGGACATTGAATGCTAATCATGTTATGTTAGCCATTTTTGTGAGCCCAGGGTTTATTTGATGACATTTGGGATTAGATATTATTGGGAAGGGGAAAAGTACTTGTTATGGGTTGTGTCTAGATGTCCCCCCAAAGCCTCAGGCAGTCATGGAGTGGACTTCGGGAGTTTTTGAGTGATTCATGGTCCAGTGCTGGGATTACGGGTGAGAGTGCTACACCCGCCCTTGGGCGGCTATCTTGCATACAATTCAAGGAAGGGAAAGAGGCTTGTTCTTTTTGCTTCTCTTGCTTTTTGCTCTGGCTGCTTTTGCTGTTTTCTGCCGCCATGAACTGTTGCGTTCTGTCAGGTACCACTCTGCCTTGGAACCAGCCAAATACGGACTGAAACCTTTATAGACTGTGAGCAAAATAAACCTTTCCTACCCTAATTTTGGGTGTCAAGTATTTTGTCTCAGCAATGACAGAAAAGTAACCAACACAGGACTCATTTTGAAATGAGAAGTACTATTCTATGCCTGAAGGGAAAGTGATAATAACTGAAATGTTTTAAGTTTGGGGCCTGAGAAGGACAACCCAAGTGGTAGTGGTTCCAGTCTCTTTCTGCTGTGGTGTTTAAACCCAAAAGCCTTCCTGTGTGCTCCCAGTTCATTTGATACTTGCATAGAAATCTGTTACATCTGATCTCATTCTTCAGAAGATACTTGAGAACATTATTGCTCTAATATCTAACATCAGATTTTTAAAAGTAGAATTTCTGTTAATAGAGCCTTGTGTACTTTTTCCTGTACAGTCAGGCTTACTCTTTATATAAGCTCTGTCTATGGCCATATCATCCTGAACATGCCCAATCTCGTCCTTATATGGGCTTTTCTCCTCAGAAAACCATTCATGCAGTATTAGTGTCTCGACTCTGTGTTTCTTCTTCAGTGCTACCTTGCCCTGGCAAAAGGAGGCTTATCTGATGATCATGTCCTCATCCTGCCCATTGGTCACTACCAGTCAGTGGTGGAGCTTTCAGCAGAGGTGGTGGAAGAAGTGGAGAAATATAAAGCTACCCTAAGATGCTTCTTTAAGAGTCGAAGGAAACAGTGTGTTCTGTTTGAGAGAAATTATAAGAGTCATCACCTCCAGCTACAAGTAAGTGATCTCTGCCCAGGAACGTAGGAGGGCACTATGGTGACCTTGATATTGAGAAATAAATATTTAAATAGTGGTTACCTGGAATATGTAAATTTAATCTAATATTTAAATGTTATTTCAAAGTTTAAGAGTATCTGGTGATAACTCTAGAGATTTCACAGGGAAGTACATGATGGCTATAAGTGAACAGCAGGGTACTAGTGCTAGAAAAGGAGTAGGTAATTGAGCGAAGTTCCAAGGAAGATATAAGCCCTGCTAGGTAAAGGTATGGAAAGGAATTTTGTGTGGAGATCCTGTATGAGTGAAGGCTTAAAGGTAGAAAATAGCATCAGAGGCCACATGAGCTAGCAGCGCAGAAATGTGGTGATTGTGCTTGTGGTAGTTTCTTTCTGGCACATTTGTTAAGTTTTCAAATGGGCCTGACTCTGCCACAGACATAGTAAGGAGCTGGCAAAGGCTTAAAGACAGAAAGATCTCTCTTAAGCTTTTTGTGCATCAGATACTGCTCTCACAATCTATCTCATAAGTTTAAGTCCTACAGACAGGTTGACGAACACCTGTCTGGCCTGAGGACAGACTCTGTGCTGAGGGGTGCTTTCCACCCCTGTGATGGATTTGCTACTTTTCAGAAACTGTACAGACATAACCTCTCTGGGACCTCTACTATGAATTTTTCCTACTCCCCCAACCCCTGTCCAGGTCATTCCTGTACCGCTTAGCTGCTGTGCTACTGATGACATTAAAGATGCCTTCATTACCCAGGCACAAGAGCAACAGATAGAGCTATTGGAAATCCCAGAGCACTCTGATATCAAGCAGGTAAAACAGGAAGGTCTGGTGCTTTTCAAGGAGTAAAAGATCTGGTTTTTTACATGGTTAGCCTGAGGTACTATCAGAGAATTCCAAGAATGTTAAATAGGCAGTGAACAATTTGGAACCAGTTCACAGTATATTGATTAGACTGGAGAAGGAAATAGCATTACAACAAAGTCTTAGTGTTTTTTTGTGGGAAGAGCAGAAACTAGACATTTCCTAAGGTGGAAACTTAGCAAGAGGGTACCACTGGGAGGATACTGGTAATATCTGACAATCTGACTCTTTAAACTGTAGTATCATTTAGTACTTTAGGATCTATAGATATTCACATATTTGTTTTCTTATACCTTTAAACTGAATTATTTGCCAAATTTAGAGCTTTTAAAAGATGAGCTAAGGTTCTAGATCTTCAAAGCACTATTATATGTCCTGATACAACTTTGTTTACTTCAGATTGCACAGCCAGGAGCAGCATATTTTTATGTTGAACTTGACACAGGAGAGAAACTTTTCCACAGAATTAAAAGGAATTTTCCTCTGCAATTTGGAAGGTTTGTATGTTTTCCTTCTTTTCAGTGTATTTTTACTAGAACTGTTGTAAACAAAGTGATGAGCAGTGTGAACAATTGATAATAAACCAAATAGGAAACGTGCCTTACCCCCAAGGAACTTACAGTATCAGGGCAAATCAGATCAGCCATGTGATACAAAATATGAAATGTAGCTTGACAGAGTTTTTGGAAACAATGTACTTTGGAAATTTAGAAGTAATCCCAACACTCAGGAGGCTGAAGCAGCAGAAGCACCTTGAATTCAAAGCCAGCATGGGCTACATAGTGAATTTAAGGACAACCTGAACTGCAATGGGACCCTGTCTCCAAAAAAACAAACAGAAAAAGTAAGATGTGTAATGTATATGTACAAACTCCCATGATAAAAAATGTAATCAGTATGTACTGCAATCATGCACTAATAAAAGTATGAAACAAAAGCTGGAGTAAGAGAGAAATTAGGAGTGACTGCTGACGGGTGTAAGATTTAGTTTTGGGTAATAAACTGGAATTAAAGAGCAGAAATCAGTGCACAAGTTTAAAAATATAAAGTAAGTCCCAACTTGGGAATAAGTTCTGTTTTGGGAAGACGTTCCTAAGTCAAATTCATTTGTAGGTCTGATAAAGTGAGTCTTATATACCTTTGACACAGATATACAAGGCAAAGGATAAACACACACACACACACACACACACACAAATACTGTGAGTAAACTAGTTTTACTTTTAAGCACAGTAAGCACACAGCAGCACAAGTATGACAATGTCCAGCAGACATGTAAGCTACTTTCACTGTTTATTCACATCAATGAATCTTCCTAATACAAGGTCCATTCCTATTGGTGAAGTTTACAACTCAAATGTTTGCAAGTCAGGGACTTACTGTACTAGCCAGGTATGGTGGAACATGCTTGTAATCCCAGTATTGAGAGGCTGAGGAAGGAGGATCATAAATTCAAGGCCAGCCTGGAATTTAGGAAACAGACCCTGTCTCAGAATAAAATTAAAAGGGCTGGAGTTCTACTTCAGTAATGGAGCACTTTCTTGGCATGTGTGAGGCCCAGTACCAAAACAAAACAAACCAAAGAAAGGAACAGAACTAATACCTGATCTGAAGCAGTTTGGGCAGTATGAGAAGTAAGTGAGACTATGTGTAGTCTTTATCTGTATTAAGTGACTGTGTTTGCTGTGGGGATCTATGTTTAATTTTGCTGTTTAATTATCCCCAGACTCTGCCAGGGATATTATGTAGTATATAGTATATTAAATGAATCCTATCACCTTTTGTTGTTGTTGTTGATAATAAGCCAAATAGGAAACGTGCCTTACCTCCAAGGAACTTACAGTGTCAGGGCACTGTAAGTTTTGTTTATTTTTTGAGATAGGGTCTTGCTATATAGTCCAGGCTGGCCTTAAAAATAAATAAATATATAAATAGTAAATTTATTTATTTCAAAGAAGGAAGAGTTTAAGCTTGATATAAGGGCCTTATGAAAAGTCAAAAGCGAATTGAAGAGATAGATTTAGAGGGCAAATGCTGGAATGAGGGCATCTAAACAGAGGGAATAAAGTGCTACTATTGACCATATGCCATGGATCAGACACTGCTAAGAATTCTATGCATTTTCTCATGTAATCTTCACAGCTTTGTATGGTAGGTATTATCCCAATTTATTAATATAGACAATGAAACTCTAGAGCCGTGTCCAACAGAATTTTTCACAAAGATAGAAATGGTCTATAAATCTGTACTACCAAATACAGTAATCACTAGCTATGGGTGGCTGTTGAACATTTGAACATGTGGCTAAGTAACTGAGGGACTGCATTTTTAATTTTATTTAGTTTTAGCTACAATTTAAATATAAATAGCCACATCTGCTTAGTGGTACTGTTTTGGATAGCATGCCTATGGTCCTACAGTGGTAGGTGTAAATCCAGGTCTGGTAGACCACAAAATAAGATAATTTTATTATTCTGCAGTATTCTACAAAGTTAAATGAAGCTTCAGTTTTGCTCATTGTGTCAGGCAGAACATGACTCAGATGATTTATTTCCTACTCTGTTTATGCATAGACACAGAGTCTGAAGTAGAGTAGAAATGTACAGAATGCATTATCTTGTAATATCTGATTTGCAGCTATTTTTTCCCCCTAGTTAGAATTGGCCTTTCAGTGACCCCCGAACTACTTCTGGACTAATTTGGAAAACCTCTAAAAGATTGCTGCATTGTCTGCATTTCTAGGAAGATAACTGATAAATAAGAAGCGGGTTATATGTTTCAAACATCTAGTTTGATCTTTTTGTTGTTGTCTTAGTAACAGATACAAATAGGGACATGATTAACAGTGTGTATAGGCATATGTCTTAGTTACTTTTCTCATTGCTGAGACAAACTATCCATCACCCAAAGTTAAAAGAGGAAAGATTTATTTGGCTCACAGTGTGTAGAGGTTTTAGTTCATAGCTGGCTGGCTATAATACAGGGTGGTATGACAGAGGGGCATCAGAGGGGTAAAATAGTTCATGGCAGGCAGAAGGCAGCAAGCAACAAGGAATGACCCTCTTTCTGTCCCTTATATCTTATCCAGGCACCCTCTTTTAGGGTGAGTAGTACTTACACCCTTAATTCTAGCATTGCATCCTTGATCTTAGCATCACACACCCTACTCCAGCCACCTCTGAAAAACTTCACCTATGACTGCATAAGGCTTTAGGGGTACATCTAGATACAAGCTGTATGGGCATACAAAGCTCACAAATGGGAGATCCTTTAAATAATTTTGTGTTCCTGTCATTTATATTTTCAAACTGGAATATTTTCAACATAATTTATAGTTACTAGTATTTTACATTTAACAAAATACTTGAAAAGTCTTCTTTTTCTAGCTGTAAAAGAAAAGTGATCCTATTTTTATTTTACATCTAATGAAATAGGCTCAAAGTATGCCCTCAGAGATACTACTTGAGCTTAGGTCTACTGTGCTTTTTAGAGGACTCAGATGATTTATTTCCTACTCTGTTTATTGTAACTTCAAAGTAGAAAATGGACCAAATAGATGCATAGACTTACTTCTAATATATCAAAATAAGTAAAAATGAATAAAAATATAAAACAATAGAAATTCAAAGCAGATACATTATCTATATGTTATTCTTTTGTTCTGAGAGTCAAGATAAGTCATTTTCTTTACACTGAGCTTATGTTGATGTGCCAGAAGGAAAGGCAGAAGAATTTTAAGTCAGAATAGGTATGATACCCAACTCTGCTCTCAGCAAACTCATAGTCTAATTGAGATGACAAAGCTATCGTCTAAGGCAAGATATAATTCACTGCTAGTATAGTGCTTTGTGTTATCTTGGTTCTTCACAAACCCCTACAAGGTAAATGCTCTTATTCGAATTTCATAGGTAAGGAATCCAAAACTCAGAGATGAAGTAATCTGTTCAAGTCATAGACAGCAAGTGACAAAGCTAGGAATGGAATCCAGTCTTTTGATCTGACACTGGTCCTGTCTTTCTGGTAGTATGCCATGTTGCTTCTCTACATACTATAACAGTAATGTAGTTTCACATTGTTCAAGAGAGGAAGGATGAAGTGTGAAAGGTCAGGAAAGAGGTAGGATCTGAGGTGGTCATTCCACATGGGTATGATTTAGATAGAATGGCAGAGATGGTAGTCAGGGCAGGAGAACAGTATAAGCAGTCATAGTCTACACACTTGTTTTAGGTGATGCTGAGATGAGCTCTGTGGTTGGAAAGGGACAGGAGAAAGCAGAAATTTGGAGCTAATACTCCCCATTTTTACTTCTTTGTGCTCTTTCTGCAGGGAGGTGCTGGCTAGTGAAGCAATTCTTAATATTCCTCAGAAGTCTGACTGGAGGCAGTGTCAGCTCAGCAAAGAAGAAGAAGAGACCTTGGCTTACCGCTTCCGGAAAGATTTTGAGCCCTTTGACTTCACTCTGGATGACTAAGCAAAGGGAAGAACACACACACACACA